CACTCCTGGCAAGTAGTCCACCACTGAATTACATGCCCAGCCAGGCAAAATTACTTTTTTTTTTTTGAGACACTTTGTAGTTTAGGCTGGTCTTGAATGCACTATATACCCCAGGCTGGGCTCAAACTCACTGCAATCCTCTTGCCTTGGCTCCTGAGTGCTAGGATTACAGCCCACCACTCCTAGCACACATTTTTAAAAGTACTAAAACAGGGCCAGGGATGTAGCTCAGCACACAAGCACCTGCCTGGCAAGTGTAAGGTCCTGAGTCAATTCCTGGTACCAAAAAACCAAGAGGGTACAGAAGGTGGTAAAGCACTTGCTTAGCATGCATAGAACTCTGGGTTTGATCCTCAGCATCGTAAAAAAGAAGGGAACCCCTTAAAAGTATCACAAATAGGATCTGGGGATTTAGCTCAGCAGCACAGTGCCTGCCTGGCAAGCACAAGGTCATGAGTTCGATTCCCGGTACTAGAGAAAAACCAAAAACAAACAAACAAACAAAAAAGTATCACAAATAGATGGCACAAGTGTGTAATCACAGCTTTCTGAGACAGAAAATCTGAGCCGAGCCTGGTCTACTTAGCAATTTAGTGAGACCCAGTCTCAAAAAAGAAAATGATCACTAGGCATGGTAGTGCACGCCTGTAATCCCAGCACTTGGGAGGATGAGGCAGGAGGATGCTGTGAGTTCGAGACTAGCCTGGGCTACATAATGAGCTCAAGACTAGCCTGAACTGCACAGTGAGACCCTATCTCAAAAAGACAAAAAAAAAAAAAAAAAGAGAGAAAGAAAGGAAAAGAAAAAAGAAAGTGAAATAAGGATTGATGTAGCTTGGTATGAAGGCCCTGGGTTCAATTTCCAGTACCAGAAACAAAACCAAAAAAAAAAAAAAGCCACAAAGTAAAAAAACAAAGTACATACCAAGAAGAGATAACTATAATATCTGTATTAATTATATTGACAGAAATTAAGAGATCTGGCAATACCACATGTTGGAAATAATCCAGAAAACTAAGAATTCTCATACCCTACCAACAAGGCACATAAACTGGTACAACCACTTCAGAGAACCACTTAGCAGTATCTAGTAGAGAGGTTAACACTTCTGTTTGATGTCTCAGACATCATGCTCCGAGACATACATTCATGTGAGACTGCATTCCCCACACTGGCCACAGCACTACTTCTGGCCCCACAAGCTGTTGCAGAACCTTGCTGCATCCCATCAAGAGCAGCCATACATTTCCTTTCCCCTAGACCCTGTGCAGGATTTTCAGACTGTTTAAAAACACAATGTAGGGTCAGGGATATAGCTCAGTGGCATAAGCGCCTGCCTAGCAAGCGCAAGGTCCTGAGTTCAATTCCTGGTACCAAAAAATAAAAATAAAAATAAAAACATAAAATAAAATAAAAAAAATGTGGAATGGTAATGCTGTATGACTACACTGCATAGCAAGACCTGTTTCAAGCCCCCATCCCCTGGCATTGTCTAAATTTCATTCATGTCATAAGACTTTGCAGGCGACTGAGATTAAGGGGGCCAGAATAATAAATCTGGCAGAGGAAATTTCAGGACAGCCCAATATTCAGGCTGTGGCATGGCTGTTGGCAGCTTTTAGCTAGCTCTACAATGAGAATCAGGAGCAAAGAGCATAGCTGAATAACTTCTACAGTTTTTAGTTTTTCCAGAAAGTAAGCTCCTATAAAGTTTTAGTCAAAAGCTTGGTTGCTAAAAAGATAAACACTAAGAAGCCAAGTACTTTACATCAGGACAATCAAAAAGATGTCTTGAGGCCACCTCAGAATTCAGCAAAACCTCACTCCTCACAGGCTACCAAGTGTAAAAGTCAAAGACTGCTTTGAGAAAACAGCCCCAGGGAACACAGCTCATTCAGGGCCAGATAGAGAAGAGTTTCCCTGAAGCTCAGCCAACCAACTATTCAGAAGCTTCTGCTGCCATGATTCAAGGGGGCACAGCCAGTGCTTCAGTGGGTGACAGATAATGGAGTCTACCACGTGGCACTAGTTTTACAGCCATGCAAAATGCAAGAGTTGTGGGGTCATGGAGGTTTCCACCCAGACTTCAGAAGGAAACCTGGGAGGTTAGGCAGTGGAGAGGCCAGTGCATGAAGCTGTGAGAAGAAAGCCAAAAGGAGAGACCCCAGGAAGTTACAGAAACCAAGAACACAAAACATCTGCTGAAGAAGGTGCAGGCAATGAGCAGAACCCCAAGAGAAAAGCCATGGCAATGCTGTAGGGACAGGGCTACCTAAGCCACTTGAGGAACACACTTGCAACAGCGAGTCCTCAGTTCAAGGAACTACAGGATTTAATGTTTGGCCTGCTGAGTTTTGGTATTGCTTTGGTCCAATTTCTTTCTATCCTCCTGTTCCTCCCTTGTGAAATGGCAATATTTATTTTATGCCATTTTATGCTGGCAGTGTTTAACTTCCTTTTTTACTTTCACAGGGGTTCACACCTAAGAGTTTATCTTCAGTCTCAGAGAAAACTTTGGACTTTCAGCAATGCTGAAACTCTTAAAAGCTTTGTTCTCATAGGCAGTGAAATGCATTTTACATAAAGAGACACACATGCGTCCTCTGGGGTCAGGGGCAGAATGATGAGGATTCCAATGGGAACCTCCCATGAAAGCCTCATGTGTTTAGTGGGGCTTATGAAAGGTGACTGGATTATAGGGGCACTCTAGCTGCTGTCGGCAGGTGGGGCCTTGTTAGAGGCGGGCCACTGGGGTGTGGAAGGGTATATCTCCCTCCTTGTCTCTTCCTATCTCTCTGCTTCTTGGCCATCATGATGTGACCAGCATTTCCTCCGCTATGCCCTTTTGCCATGTTGTCCAGCCTTGGGGCCAGTGGACTATGAAAATGTGAGCCAAAATAAAGCTTTTCTCCTTAAGATGTGAGTGTCAGGTACTACATCTCAGTAACAAAAAAGTGACTGTGACATCAACATTCTGCAGGCTGAGGCAGGAGGACTGACAGTTCAAGGTCAGCGTGGACACAAAACAAAAACAAAATCTGCCAAATACTAAATGCAGCAAAATAATATTTGTAAAAGGTTTTAAGACATGCCAAAGAAGTAACATTGGCTACATACAGTTAGAATCACAGACAGACATGGGAATTATAGTCACAAAATTTAAGTCAGTTACTCCCACAAAGGCAGAGATAATCAGAAAAGGGTACATGGGAAACTTCAAATGTAGCTATAATATGTATTTCTTAAGATGGATGATAGGTCTACATATGTTGTTATATTCTTCTTTTTTTTTTTTTTTGTCTTTTTGAAACAGGGTCTCACCATGCAGTTCAGGCTGGCCTCAAGCCCAGGCTGGTCTAGAACTTGCAACAATCCTCATAGCCTCCTGAGTGCTGGGATGACAGGTGTGCACCACCACCTCAGCCTTTTATATTATACTTTGTACCTTTTTATATACTTGAAATATCTCAAATACACTTAAAAGAAACCAATAAATAAAAGCTAAATGTAGCAATATAGCACATCTCAGAAACAATATTAGAGGAAAAAATGGGTCCAACATGATATAATTCACATACAGTTTAAGAACATTCAAAATGTATCTGGTATGTTAAAATATAAAACATTAATAATAGCGAGGTACAGTGACAGTCTCTAATTCCAGAACTCTGGCAGGCAGAGGCAGGAAAATTCCAAGTTTATTTACGGCCAGTCTGAGCAATTTAGCAAGACTCTGTCTCAAAACAAAAAAAATAAAAAGGGCTGGGGATGTAGCTCAGTGAAAAAGAGCTGGGTTGAATCCCTAATATCTAAAAAGAACAACAAGAAAAAAAATCTCCAGAGTAAAATATCCCTCAGGTTGCCAGCAAAATAATGAATAAAGCACTGAGACACATCACTATGGAATGTCAGAACACACAGAATAAGGACAAGATCTTCAGCATCTCTAGAAAGCAGGAAAAAATAGGTCACAACGAGCAGATGATACCAGCACGGTCCTTCACAACAGCATCTCTGGAAGGCAGTCAGAGGACAATGACTGGAGTGAACAGCACACCCTTAGCCTTGGTTTTGAGATTTGAATAGCCATTTACATGAATTGTATTCATGAAAATAAATTTGAAAAACTAGAAGAACAAGAAGTACATCTAAAGCTACCAGGTAAAAAAATGTCAAGACTAGCTAGGTGTAGTGTTGCACATCTATACCCCCACACTTGGGAGGCTGAGACAGAAGGATTACCATGAATTTGAGGCCAGCCTGGACTACACAGGCTGGCCTTCAACTACATCCATAGCAAGACCTTATCTCAAAAAACAAAACAGGCCAGGTGTGGTGGCACACGCCTGTAATGCCAGCACTCAGGAAGCTGAGGCAGGAGGACCGTCATTGCCAGTTCAAGGCCAGCCTGAGCTGCATAGCGAGACCTTGTCTCAAAAAAAAAAAAAAAAAAAAAAAACAATTAGCAAAACTAAATAATTCAGATATTATTTATGTTTTCACTTTTTTTTTTTGGTATTGGGAATTGAACTCAGGACCTTGCACTTGCCAGGCAGGCACTCGTGCCACTAAGCTATATCCCCTATTTATGTCCTATAATAAACAATATGAAAAGACTAAGGAAAACTTAGGAAAAGTATATAACCTAGAACCTAATTCAGCATTAATGTCATACACATCCAAATTTTAAGTGAAATTAAACTAAAGTGAAAGAAGCAATCAAACCTGCTCTAAAGCTGGTTCATAGCATTTTACCCTGCCAGAAACACAGACAGATAGCATAATAGCTCAAACAGTGACCTGCTAGAGACAGAAAAGGACAGACCAAGGCCAGGCTTCTGAGGTTCTGACTCCTGCTGCAAGCTAAGCCCCAACCACCTCCATGCAGAGGGTGTATCTGTGGCTACAGCAAAAGCACCTAAAACCAAAATTTACCTGAAAAGAGTATCACAGCTTACAAGGGCACAAAGCCTCCAAGTTCCTATTATTTGTTACTTACATCGTGAAACATTTTGCTTTCTTGTTTTAGCCGAGCTTCTTTATCATCGGAGAGTTTGTACGCATTCTCAAAAGCTGCTTCTAAATCGTGCAGTCTAGATTTTAGTCGAATGATGGTATTATCTTTTTCTTTATTGCTTGTTCTCATTTCTTCAATTCGTTCCTGCAAAATTTTGGAGGTACTGCTGGCTGCATTGAAGCGTTCTCTCAAATCATTCTACAAAATAAAGACAAAGACAACAGGTTTTAAATGAAAAAGCAGATGTCACAATAATTTATGGACATTACCATTCCAAAAGAAAGCATACAAATAGAAATAAGCAAACTTAACACTTCAATTTATCCTGGGATGGAGAGTCTAGAAAGAATTATACTATCAGAATAACTCCTTGAAATTATGACAGAGAAAACTAGGGTCACAGGTCCTATGATTCTAGGACTCACTAACCTAATATAGCACCTAGGGATCACCTTATGAGAAAAAAAAAAAAATCAGCACAGCTATGAGAGAAATTATCCTGAAAGTAGAGCTGGAATTTGTTACCCAATATTAATATTTGGAGGGGAATCATTTCTTACCCTATTCTCTCACTATAAAAACAGAAAATTCAAAACGTATCTGGTATGTTAAAATTTATCCAACAATTATTTCTAGAATACCCACAAGGTGCCAGGCACTAGGGTGCTATAAATTTAAGACTGAAGCTGGGCAAGGTGGCATGCCAGCAGTCTCAGCTATTTGGGAGGCTGAGGCAGGAGGATCACTTCAGCTCAGAAGGATGGGACAAGGCTGGAAAACACAGCAAGACCCCATCTCAAAATAAAAGAAAACAAAAATGTTAGGATTAACAACAGAGTAAATAACCCCTAACGTCATAAAGTTTACAGTTTAGTAGGAGACAAAGATAACTGAAAAAAGCATCAAATATACATACTTGGCTCTTTTTAAAATTTTATTTTGAAACAGGGACTCACTAAACTGTTCAAGCTAGTCCTCCTGATTCAGCCTCCAAGTAGCTAGGATTACAGGTGTGTGTAACCACCCTGAGTTGGAATTCCTTTCTGACTGAGGAAAATGTTCTACAATTGATGGTGGTAATAGTTATACACTCAATTTATTAAATGCTGAATTACATACTTTGAAAGGATGAGTTTTATGATATGCAAATTATATTAAAAAGTAAACAAAATTGTTAGGTCTCTCACACTGTACCCTGCCCAACTTGAAGAGAAAAACTCCAACAGACAAGCAGTCTGCTCAAACAGAAAGCCCCTCACTCGGCTCAAGAGACTAAAGTAAACCTGTTTATCAGGATGGTTCCCAGGCCTAGTTCTCAGGCTTACAGGAAACATTGTAAGTCTATAGAACACCACACTGTAAATCAGTAATATGCCGATGTCCTCCTGACTTCCCTCCCCCGGAGGCACCAGACCCACCAATCACCCCTGAGAAACTTAAATTTTCCACCTTCCTCAGTGGAACTTCCCCCTCCCATACCTAAAATAGTCTATAAAAGAGGCCCCCTTCTTCTGCTCAATGCCAACAGCTTTCTCACCCTTGGTCAGGTTGCATCCAACGTGAAATAAAGATATCGCTGGGAGCCGGGGATATAGCTCAGTGGCATAAGTGCTTGCCTGGCAAGCCTGAGGTCATGAGTTCAACTGCCGGTACCAAACCAAAAAAAAAGATATCGCTGTCTGCTTCGATCTTGCCTGTCCTGGTGGTCTTGGTTGCTAGTCCAGGTTTAGCCTGACAAAAATGTTTCAAAGGGTTTATGGCTTATAGTATCACATAAAGCCAGCAGTAATGAAATACAAACCTACTTAGTAAGAGATCCTTTAGAAAATATTATCATAAAATGAGTCCCTCAGGTTCAGTTGATAAAAAAGATTTTTTTTTTTTTTTTTTTTTTTGGTCTTTTTGAGACAGGGCCTCACTATACAGTTCAGGATGGCCTTGAGCTCACTTTGTAGCGCAGGCTGGCCTGGAACTTGCAAGGATCCTCCTGCCTCAGCCTCCCGAGTGCTGGGATTACAAAAAAGATTTTTTTAGTCATTAAATCACTACAATAAAAAGCCAGAAAAAGAGAACTTACCACTTCTACTTCCAGTAAGTTGTTCTTATTTTCCAATGTCCTCACATGACCAGTAGCTTCAGTCAAAGCACTATCTAGCTGGTCACATCTAAAAGCCACAGGTATACTTTCAATTAGAAAGTAAAATAATTTATCTTAAAAGTACTACATAAAAAACCAAAAGAATTTTAAAAAATAGTATTACATAAATCTAACTGATCCACCAATACATAATATACAACTAATCTCCAGTGTTAGTTAAAACCAAGATGCCATTTTAGTAAAATATATCCCAAAGAACTGTATGATATTCTAGTATCTGGAGAAAATAACAGGCTAAAATAATGACATGAAAAGATCCCTAAAAAATATTAAATGGGGTGGGGGTGTAGCTCAGTGGCAAAGCATATGCCCAATATGCGTGAGGCCCTGCTTCAGTCCCTAGCACCAAATAATAATAATAATTTTAAAATAAATTTATTGAAAAAAGTATAGTTTGAACAGATATTTAAATACTCATGTTCCCAGTAGCATTCTGCACAACAGGCAAAACATGGAAGCAGTACAAATGTCTTTCAGCTGATAAAAATATATATATTGGATTGAATCTTACAATTCTGATATATGCTGTAACATTAATGTTGACTGAGATTAAGTCAGTTACAGAAAGACAAATACTGTACAATTCTACTTATGTTAGCAGTCAAATTTACAGAGACAGGCTGGATGTGGTGACATATGCCTGTAATCTCAGCACTTGGGAGGCTGAGACAGAAGGATTGCCATGAGTTCAAGGCCAGCCTGAGATATAGAAGCAAGTTCAAGGCCAGCCTGCACTACATAGACAGACCTCATCTCAAAAGAAAAAAAATAAAAATTACAGTGACAGAAAGTACAACAGTGGTTGCCAGGGACTGGGGAAAAGGGTAACAGGACGTTATGTTCAATGAGTAGAGAATTTCAGTTTTGCAAAATGAAAATGATTCTGGACATGGCAGGAGTGATGGCTGCACAACAGTGTGAATTACACTTAAGCCACTGGACTACACACTTAAAAATGGTAAGTTGTGTTGTGGTTAAAATTAAAATTTTTAAAAAGCTAGGCATGGTGGTGCACACTTGTAATCCCAGCACTTGGGAGGCTGCGGGAGTAGGATCACTGAGAATAGCAATATTCTGTCTCAAAAATACAAACAAAAATCCAAAAATTTAAAATTTAAAAAGCTGGGCGTAGTGGCACACACCTGTAATCCCAGCACTCAGAAGGCTGAGGCAGGAGGATTGTTGCGAGTTCAAGACCAGCCTGGGCTACAAAGTGAGCTCAAGGCCAACCTGAACTGCATAGCGCAACCCTGTCTCAAAAACACACACACACACACACCAAAAAAATTAAAAAGCAAGATAGAAAAACCTGCACAAAATAGCTTGCTCTTACTTGTGGAAAAAAATTTACTTGTATATATTATGATTGCTAGAAGGATGTAAAACCCCAACCTGTAATGTTGTTACTAGAGGTTGCATTAGGGAAACTAACTTATTATCAAACTTGGCAGGAATGCATTATTCTTATAAAAACTTAATTTGTAAAATTATCATAGAGCCTCAAAATAACAAAATATGTAGAATTCAGCTAGTATTTTGACTCAGTGTTTAATGATGTACCATGAATAACAAAAGCATTATTTATTTATCACTCATTATGTACCAGGTCTATGTTAAGTACTTTCATATTTATCCTCATAGTCTTTTCAATTAAATTAGGGTTACTATCAGTCCCACGTTAGAAATGAGAAAACCAAGAGTGGTTAAGTTTCTAGCTGGAGGCCAGTGGTGGGCCAGCACTGCATTCTCACTGGGGTCATCTGTCAGGTTTTGCAGGGCAGGGACTGAACCCAAAGCACGGACTCTGCCACTGAGCTCTACTCTCGGCCACTTCCTTCGGATTCTTTTTTTTTTTTTTTTCTTTTTGAGACAGGGTTTTGCAGTGCAGTTCATGCTGGCCTTGAGCTCACTTTGCAGTCCAGGCTGGTCTCGAACTTGCAATGATCCTCCTGCCTCAGCCTCCTGAGTGCTGGGATTATAGGCGTGCGCCACCATGCCCGGCTTCCCTTGCATTCTGAGCCAGGTCCAGAGTGCCTGCTCCTAACCACTAGGCCTCCCGGCCTCAGAGGTGAAATCTGGGATGATTGGTTTGTTTTGTTTTGTTTCACTTAGTCTCCAGTGCTGATGATCAAACCCACAGCCTCATACATGGTAGGCAAGCATTCTACTCAGCTATGTGCCCCGGCCTGGTAAGCCTCTTCTTGAAAGAAAGGTCATTTAATTAGTCAGGTGTGAGTGAGAGCACTAACTGGATTTGAGCATTTTTATTACCTCACTGATTCTGATATGCCAGCGAACACCGTCCCCAGAGCTGCAGCTGTGCAGCCATAAGGATCTGTGATCACAGCTGGCCTGCAACACGAGCATTAATGGCCCCATGTGCAGTACCAATGGAATTTTCCATGTGCAATTTTAAGTTTTGAGGAAAGAAAGAAAAAAATGGGTGTATGCACTGACAACACTGGTTTTTGTCTTGGAATTGTTTCTGCAGTTCTAAATGACTGCAACTTCTCCTTTTGTTTCTTTTTTTTTTGTCTTTTTGAGACAGGGTCTCACTACGCAGTTCAGGCTGTCTTTGAGCTCACTTTGTAGCCCAGGCTGATCTCGAACTTGCAATGATCCTCCTGCCTCAGCCTCCTGAGTGTTAGGATTACAGGCGTGCACCACCACACTTGGTTCTCCCTGTTTCTGCTGCCTCGTGTAAGACAGTTCCTCCTTTCAGCAAACAGGAGAAAATAACGCCTCCCTTGCCCGGGACTACACACTCTCCACTGCACTGTGCTCAGCTGCTGCACCGCAGCAACTCATCTGAAGCCGCGCCTTCCCGCCTGCCCCGGCTGCAGGTATTTCCCGCGTGTGCAGCAGCACTTCTTGCACAGCACGATGTTCTAATTGGCTGTGCTCCCTGGGCAGCCTCACCAGGACCCCATCTTCAACATCAAAAATCCATCCTGGGCAGCATCACACCTGTTTCCACCAGGAGGTACCTGTTGTCATCTCTGTCTTTTTATTTTTTGGTTTTTTGAGACAGGATCTCGCTCTGCAGCCCAGGCTGGCCTCAAACTCATAGCAATCCTCTGGCCTCAGCCTCCCAAGTGCTGGGGTTACAGGCATGTGCCACCAGGCCTGGCTTTTTTGTTTCTTTTGAGAGACAGTCTCACTAAGTTGCTAAATGGCCCAGGCTGGGCTAGAACTTGTGATCCTTCCCACTCAGCCCCCCAGAGTGCTAGGATTTATAGGCACATCCCACCATGCCTGGCTAAGTCATTAGGGACCCTGTAGTATTAACCTTCCCATAAATGACATGGGAAGACTGTACACATACAGAGTCTGCTAGCTTCAGTTCTTTGCCCACAGGAAGCCCATGACTTCATGTCAGTTAATAGTGTATTACAGGAGGTGGGTTCAAAGCTTTAGAAATGCTTAAGGCCAGGTGCAGTGGCACATGCTATGCAATGCCAGCTACTCAGGAGGCAGAGTTTCACAAGCTCAAGGAGAGCCTGAACAACTGAGCAAGACTCTGTTTCAAAATAAACATTTTCAAAAGGGGCTGGAGGGGCCGGGGATTTAGCTCAGCGGCAAAGTGCCTGCCTGGCAAGAGCAAGGTCGTGAGTTCGGTTCCCGGTACCGGAGAAAAACCAAAAAAAAAAAAAAGGGGGCTGGAAACGCAGCTTAGTAGCATGTGCAAGGTAGCAGCTTGGCTAGCATGTGCAACGCCCTAGGTCCTATCCCCAATATGCACACGCACACACACACGCACAAATTACTTTGCAAATGTCTCTCTGCTAAAATTCAAATCCAAAATCCATGCTTTGAAAGTGTTTTTCAATCCTAGTATTTTATTTCTGTGGAAACAGTACGTTCAAGTTGCAGAAACACTAACATCGTAGTTATATTTTACCTATCTATAAGAATTTGATTGGTTTTCTTCCACTCTTCAACTGCAGAAGCTTCTTTTGCCTCCAGCTTCTGTTTCAAACTATTTATTTCAGATTCATAATAAGCGCGAAGATCTGCTATGTGTCGAGCATGCTTCTCCTTCAGGTTCTGCCTAATCCTGTGGGCAAGAACAAACATCATTAGGAAGCCCGTCCCCCGTGTCCATCCTGTAAGAGAAACCGAGAGCACAGTCCCTCCTCCAGGCAAGGTACAGGCTGCCCCCTCTGTCCTCCCCCGCACACAGAGCCAACGCTCCACGAGCTCCAGCAGCTTTTACACACAAGAACGTTCTAATTCACTATCGCCTCCTGGGTGCCTCTGTGAGCACCTTGTATTTCTCTCGCAGGGGGCTGGGGATGTAGCTCAGTGGTAGAGCACCTTCCTAGCATGCATGGAGCTCCAGGATTTTTAAGCCTCAGCATCAGAAGACAGAAAAAAATTGACAATAAAGTGAAAAAGACACAAATAACTTAAGTTTTTAGATGCTCTGTCTTAAAAATGCTGCATGTCTTTAAGCTATCTTTTGTTTTACTTTTTATTTTTTGGTCTTTTTGAGACAGGGTCTCACTGTACAGTTCAGGCTGGCCTTGAGCTCACATTGTAGCCCAGGCTGGTCTTGAACTCGAACTCGCAACAATCCTCCTGCCTCAGCCGCCCAAGTGCTTGGATTACAGACGTGCGGCACCACGCCCAGCATCTTTAAGATTTTATACATTACTGAGTTCCAATAAAAATCATTTTCATTATTCAATAAGACATCATAGAAAATCTATTAACATTACAAGCCATTCACTAAAATACATACTTAGACAATATCACAGGATCTTCCAGAGAAGTCAATGAAATGCATTCTGGGACACTGTTGGCTGTACCTGGAAGCTGGGACTGACTGACCGAGGTTGAAGCTGCCGCAACAGTGTTTTCTTCACCTACAGTGCAGACCGAGACGTCGTTGCTAGTGAGAGTGTACACGGAAGGAAAGGGGGAACTGCCCCTACTCTCGCTTTGGAATGCATGGTTCTTCCAAGAGTCCACTGCTGAAGCTTTTGTATTTGAAGGATATTTTGGGAACTCGGACAATTGAGAAGTGACATGACTTGCTTGTGAAAAGGAGTCGATGTCAGAGTGACTCGACATACTTGGTTCCAGGACTGAGTCTGGTGAGATGGGTATTCTGTCGTCAAGAGCATTCAGAAAGCCATGTGGCTGAGTCCCTGAAATCTGCTGATTTGGCTTCGTGTGTACTGTTGGATCCAGAGTCAGTACCTAGAAATAAGACAGACAGCCTTAAGGTCCTCCCTCAGAGCCCAGCTGTTTTTGTTGCATCTAAATGAGAAAAAAAAAAAAAGAAGAAGAAGAAAAGAAAAGAAAATTAAATAAATGAGAAGGCTTCAGTGCTCCTAGGGAAAGAAAGCTCACAAAGTTAGGGTCAGGAAGCATCTTTTCCTTTGCACTCAGCAGAATGTTGACAACGTTACCTCTGGTGGATGACCTGAGTTGGAAGCAGAAGATTGTTCTCAGGTAACTGCTTGTTTTCCCTTTTGTAAAATAACATTTTGTAAAAAACGATAAATATCCTTCAGGGTTCTTAGCTTCATCTTATAACTGGTATTAGATGTAAGATAAATAAAATTATTTAAATGGTAGTATCAGTGATGAGGAAATTTACTGATATCAAGGTCAGCACCATATAAATGTTTTAAAAAGATTTTAAATAAGTTGAAAATGTAGACTATCAGACTGATAACACGACTTGAAAGAGAAGTCATTTCCTATTGATAAGATAGGAAAAAGTTTCATATCACCACGCGGTGGTGCACACCATATATGTAATTCCGGCACTCGGAAGGCTGAGGCAGCAGGATTGCTGTGAGTTCAAGGCCAGCCTGAGCTCCAGGGTAAGTTCAAGTCCACCCTAAACTATATAATGAGACCCTGTCTCAAAAAAACAAAACAAAAATTTCATATTACCCTACGACTACTACAGGAAAAACTTGAACCTAAATTATCTACCACCCCTTACCTAATTCCAAATAAAAACATTCTTGGTAGTCCATATGGTTTGAATCTTGAGAGACTGTGGAACCTTTAAGAGGCAGGGTTTAAAAGAAGGAAGCTAGGTTATTGGGGGTGCTCCCTGAGGTGGGTCCTGAAACCCCAGTCTCCTCTCTCTCTGTTCGCCTCCAGGCCTCCAAGAGGTGAGTGCCTTCCCTGCCTGTGCTCCCTCCACGGGGCACTGACTCACCACAGGACCAGCAGTGTGGCCACGGACTGAAACTGTGAGCTGAAACACCTGGAAACATGAGCCAAGACAGCTCCTTCTTCCCATGACTCATCTTACACATCGTGCCACAGCCACAGATGCTGACCAGCAGCCCCCCAGTCAAAATACGAACCAAGCTTTGAGGTGAGGAAAGACTTCATGGTAAATGACAGAAGCAGGACAAGAAAACCCGTGGCCAAATTAACTTCATGTGACTCAAGGGAACAAGTATCAAAGATGGAACTCCTCACTACGTAGTTATATTCCTTTTTTAAAAGAGTTAGTGGACAAGAAAAAAGTGTTTGAGCTGGGCATGATGGTGCACACCTGTGATCTCAGTGCTCCAGAGGCTGAGGCAAGAGGATCACTAGTAGTTCAAGGCCAGCCTGGGCTACAAAGTAAATTCAAGGCCAGCCTGAACTGCGCAGCAAGACCCTGTCTCAAAAAGACAAAAAGAAACGAAAAAAAAAAAAAGTGTTAGATACCCAACGAAAATAAACTTCTTCATTAATTAGTAAAATGGGATTTAACCCTAATTTCTAAAGCCGGAAACCAGGGCTTTACTATAATAAAAATGCCACCAAGAGTTAGTCTAAGATCCAAACAGTGAAACTCTGGGTGTTATTTATTTCAGGGGGGACCTTCTGTAGGGTTTGCTAACTCTGGGCCTCAAATTAAACTTCCCCTCTTCTTTATTTATGTCTCGCCCTTTCTTTCTTCAAGCTGGGCATGGCAGTTCCTGTCTCTCTCTGGAACTCAGATGCCTCCAAGTACCCTGGTGCTCCTATGGCCCCATCTACCCACACCAGAGAATCTGTGGGCGTAGTCTCCACAGATGCAGTAAGAGATATACTGAAAGAATAGTCATCATGTAACTTTTAGTTCAGTCCCATTTCAGACCTACAAGGACTGCAGATTTTTGTTGCCCAGGCTGGTTTTGAACTTCTGGGCTCAAGTAATCCTCCCTCCTCAGTCTCCAAGTAACTGGGATACTAGGCATGTGCAACAGCACCCAGCTTACTATGAATCAATACTTCTTAATAGACTCTTTAGCTAGCTTGTGAACAGAACAATTAATTATACTTGTTATGCATGAATTAAAGACATTAATTTATTAAAACTAAACCCTTAAAATATATCACACTTCCCATAATCCTGCTTGGGAATTCCACTGTCTAGATACCAACAAGCTGAAGGCCTTCTGCAAGCCCTGGGCTGTGACAAGGATTGGCACTGTGACGAAGGCCATCCCCAGAGCGCCTGCCTGGTGGCCGGGTGAACAGCTGCAGCTCGGAGGTGCAGCTCACAGTAAGGTACTGTGCTTTGCTGTTTTACGATGTCCTTTCCTTCACACATTTCAGTATCTCTGAAGTAAAGATGCTTCTTGTAAGTAATGGCATCTTACAATTGCTTTTAGCAAGTAACAGTTGTGACATATTTGTCACTGGCTGCTCAGGAGCAAACGTCAAAACCAAAAAAATTGTTCACATAAGTGCTAACAGCTTTGAAGAAAAATCCTAGAGACTACAATGGAATTTCTGAGAACCAATATTTAAGGGAAGGGCTAGTTGGCCAAAGTAAGCAACATGCTCCATCCTATAGTCAAAAATAAGCTAGTTCTACATAATTATTAAGCCAGGTAAAAACTCAGCACCAAAGCCTTACATAGTTTCTTCAAAGAAATGCTGAATCACTAATACTCTTGGTGACCTGAAAGAAAATATGTAAGAAAGCAAAGAAACCAACAACGAGTTGAAAAGAGAAGTATAAATAAGTGAGGAAGTTTTAGCCAATTTTATTTCACTTATATTTTCCTTTATGTGTAAGTTTTATGACGAAGTAAGTTGAAAACCTTTTCCCATAACAACAAAATATAAATTTGAAGAGATAAGAAAGCATCGTATTGGTCTAACTGCTAAACATTTTTAGTAGAATATGAAATGGGAGGTCATAAAATTGATGACATATTAGACCCAATTAATAGTATTAATTTATTGATGTCCGAGAGCCAGTAACATGGTAAGCCCTGTAAGTGCAAAGCCATTAAGTTTTCTACCCCTGTACAACCTCACTTCCCCCAGCTTCGCTTCTTCTTTATTTATGTCTCTCCCTTTCTTTCTGCAAGCTGGGCATGGCAGTTCCTGTCCCTCTCTGGAACTCAGATGTCTCCAAGTACCCTGGCACTTCTATGGCCCCATCTACCCACACCTATCACTGGTGTTTACATCTGTGTTCCCTTTGGTTACTTCAATTAAATCACTCCTTTGCCCAATCTACTCTCTCATAGGCTAATTAATTTGCCTAATCAAACTATAGAATTGAAAAATGTACATCAATGTGCACACAGTAAACAATTTTACGTTTGCTCTGAAGTAAGCAAAACATTTACATTTTTTTTTTCTACTGAGAATTGAACTTAGGACCTTGCACTTGTCAGGCAGGTACTTATGCTGCTAAGCTATATCCCTGTACATTTCTTATTCAAAGAATATACAACAAATTAAATTGTGCATAATTATGATACAAATGGATCAGTGGAAGATGTGGCAGGATAGAAATCCAACATTAGGTCTAGGAGAAAGTGAAGTTACTAGCCAAGGACTATTTATAAAACAGTACGCACAAAATCCTCCATTTAGGCTGGGGATTGAGCTCAGCGGCACAGTGCCTGACTGGCAAGTGCAAAGTTATGAGTTCAATTCCCGGTACGGGGGGCGGGGGGGGGCTTCATTTAATTTCACAAAACACCAATTGGGCATTTTAAATTCCATTTTAAAGTAACTTTTCTAAAATTACACAGCAGCTGGATATGGTGGCGCACACCTATAATCCCAGCACTAGGAAAGCTGAGGTGGGAGGATCGGCATGAGTTTGAGGCCAGCCTGAGCTACATACTGAGTTCAAGGTCAGCTTAAACTGCATAGCAAGACCCTGTCTCAAAAAAATAGAATTACATAGTAAAAACTAACAGACAGAATTTGAAATCAAGAGCCGGGCGTGGTGGCGCACACCTGTAATCACAGCACTCAGGAGGCTGAGGCAGGAGAATTGTTGCGAGTTTGAGGCCAGCCTGGGCTACAAAGTGAGCTCAAGCCCAGCCTGAACTGCCTGGAGAGACCCTGTCACAAAAAGACAAAAAAAAAAAAAAGAAACTGATTTCAACTTTCAAAAAAAAACAGAATTTGAAATCAAGTGCATATGACCCTCAAGCCCATGCTTTTTATACTGTATCAGAAGCTGGAAAATGCTGATGTATGATGGAGCACTCAACTACAATCACAGCACACATACAGAGATTGCTAAATTACCTGACTTGGTGACCTAGCTGCAGAAGGCAACGGTATAGGTGATTTCTCCAAAGTTTCAGGCAAAGAGTGATACATGTCCTTCTCCTCCAGTTTCCAATACGTGAGTCCTAATGTGCACACACGTAGAGTAGAAAGCAGTTAGAAAGAGAACAAAATACTTCCTATAATAACTTACCTCCAAAGAACATGAAAAATAGGAAGCAACTGGGTTTTGGCTGTGGTTACAGCAAGTTGAATATTTATGGAAAAAAAAAAGAGTCCTATAAATGCCTTATCATAGCCAGACATGGTGGCGCGCGCTTGTAATCCCAGCACTTGGGAGGCTGAGGCAGGAGAACTGTGAGTTTGAGCCAACCACGGGCAACTTAGTGAGACTATCTCAAGATAAAAAATGAAGGTGCAGCCTGTAATCCCAGCACTCGGGAGGATGAGGCAGGAGGATTGTTGCGAGTTCGAGACCAGCCTGGGCTACAAAGTGAGCTCAAGGCCAGCCTGAACTGCATAGCAAGACCCTGTCTCAAAAAGACAAAAAAGAAGGACTGGGGATATAGCTCAGAGGCATAAGCGCCTGCCTGGCAAGCACAAGGTCGTGAGTTCGGTTCCTGGTACCGCAAAAAGAATGAAAAAAAAAAAAAAAAAAAAAAAAAAAGATAAAAAATGTAAAGAAGGACTGGGGATATAGCTCAATGCAAAGGCCTGGGTTCAATTCCCAGTACCGTGAAGAAAAAAAATTAGTAATTCAAATATTTATTAAACATTTACTATGCCAGTCTGGGAGGTAGGAGTGAGACATAAGTAAATAAATCACACAGAACACACAGGTTATATCAAGGGTAAAAACTTAATAGGGCAGAACTAGGTGTGCTCACGGGGCTCACAGTGCTGTTCAGAGACAGCCACTGAAAGGGAACTGGCCACCTGGGCCCACGTAAGGACATCTCCTGATGCAGGGTAACGGCAGGCAGAGGAAGCAGCCACTGCGGAAGCCTAACAGAACAGCCAGCCTTCCTGCTGACAGGAGAAAGGAAGGGAGACGCAGGGCATGAGGACAGAGGGAAGGAGGTGCTGTCCTCCTGGGCTGCAGGCCCTAAAGGTGCTGGCTGTTACTCCAAGAAACGGGATACTGCAGAGTTCTTAGCAGCAGTCTCTCGAGCTGCCCCAGCTTTTCAAAGGGTCCCTTTGGGCACCATGCAGTGAACACAGTGAGGGCTCAAAGGTGAAGCACTGAGACTGGTCAGGGGCCCACAGCAACGAGGGGACGGGTGGGGTGCCCCACCAGGGTGACGGCAGCGGAGGCGGAAGAAGCAGTTGGATTCCGGAAACGTTTGCAAGGCAAAGTGAATTCACACAGTTGAACTGAGTGTGAGATGCTGAGGGCGGAGGAAACAAGGAGCCGAGCCACAAATGCAGTGAGACCAGGAGAGCTCCCCACGGGGCGCAGAGAGCAGCTGAACTGTCAACTATTTGGAACAACTGGAAAGAGCTACAGCTGCACCTCTGCCCTCTACCTTTACAGAACCGGTAAAGCAAATGAAGGCAGAAAGAAGGGCGCCGCTCCGAAGGAACGGCACAACACATGGGACGTTTACAGGGACCACACTGCCGAACTGTGTGCGCCCTTCATCCTACAGTGAGATATGCAGACAAACTGCTAGAAAAAACTGTAATTAAAAAGAACCTCTTTAAAAGTTTAAGCTAGGTGTGGAAGTGCACACCTGTAATCCGAGCACTCAGGAGGCCAAGGCAGGAGAATCACCGTGAGTCTGAGGCCAGCCCAAACCACACAGGGAGACCCGGCATCAACAAGCAACATCAGTAACACAAACTGAAGTTCCATACCTGTTCCTGAATCAGACAGCCACGAATCTGGACTTTCATCTGGTTTACAGAGGTAAAAAGTATGAGGATGTCCAGCAGCAGCAAAATCAGACTGCAATTCGAGAAAGAAAACAATCTGTGGACAGCTGGAAATCACGCGGCACGGCAGGCGGACACGGGAGTGAGTCCAGGTGCCACCCTGGGGCAAGGGTGCCTGGGGCTTGGTTTCCTCCCAGTTGCAGAGCACAAAGTGAAAGGATTGACAGGGAAGAGTTTCCTTTTCTTTTTTCCCCCCTTTCTTTACCAGTACTGGGCCTTGAACATGCTAGGCAAGGCTCTACAACTGAGCTACACGGGCAGCCCAACCCATTTTGAGACAGGGTCTGACTAAATTGCCCAGACTGGCCTCAAATTCTGACCCTGCTAACCTCAGGCTCTGGAGTGACTGGGACTGCAGGTGCGTGCACCACTGCACCCAGCTCAAGCTTCCTTTCCCTGTGTAACTGATAGAGGGTTATGCTGGGTGTCTGTGGGGCTAGAAGAAAACTGAGGTCAGGTATTACCTAATGAGTTCCAAACTAAAATGTACTTATAATCTGTCATCTACTTCCAAAAGAAATTTGAGGTACCTGGAATTAAAATCACTTGGGCCAGGCATGGTGGCACACACCTATAATCCCAGCAGGCAGGGAGGCTGAGGCAAAAGAACTACAAATTTTGAGCTCAGCCTGGGCAACTTAGCAAGACTCTGTCTCAAAACTTAAAAACAATTAAAAAGGGCTGGAGCTGTATGTAGCTCAGTTCTAAGTCCCTGGGTTTCCCAGTAGCACAAAAGGAGTTATTTGGTATAAAAATTAATGGTCCAAACCCTTAATGATTCATCTTTATCATTACAAATACAATAAATCAAATTACCTCTAAAAACCACAAATCAATAATATGGATCTTAAATAACGGACTACTTCTTATACACACAAAACTGGCTGTTAGTCCCAGAAACATCTAAAAATGATTATTAATGATCTGGAAAACAATTTTGAGTGACTCTCTCCTCAGGTCTGACGCTGTCACAAGAAATCTGTGTTTCCAAACAGATATGTGGTGTGCGTACCTGCCTCAAAACTTTTCTTATCATTTCCTCTATCACTGAATTTTTTATTCCTGCCAGGCACAAGCCACAGATCTCTAATTCTAGATACATGGGAGACTAAGGCAGGATCTTAGTCTCCCATTTAACAAGACTCTGGCAGGGGGGGGTGGCTCAGAGCCAGAGCACTTGCCTACCTGGGGTTCAATCTTCCACATTAAAACAAACCTTTTGTCCTGTAAATGTTTCTAAATTGTATTTGTTTGCAACACTCCATGCAGCCACTGCAAAAGCAGGAGTAAGGGAGGTGGCAACACTTTACAGGCCGAAAGAGGATAAATCCCGCCAGCCTCCCAGGACACCACTCAGCCTCCTTACCAAGAGAAGAACTCCTTGTTTCTTTTCAAACTCCTCCCTGTTCAAATTGATGCCCACACTGAACAGACCAGGGAAAGGTGACTGGGGAAAGCTAAAGCACAAAACCCAGGTGACCCAGCCTCGACCCCGCAGCTCAGAGGGGCCAGCCTAGGCATCCCCAGCGGACCCCACCAGGCCTGGAGGCTCCTCTGGGGAGACACCCACGGATGAAAGGGAAAGTGTGGAACAACACGAAGCCCTTCCAACACAGAAGCCCGCTCAGCCAGGAGCTGGCCCCAGTCCAGCACCAGGACCGGCTTCCCTGCTCCGTGACCAGCCAGCAGTTGTCACCTGAGAAACTCCCCCCACCCTCCACCCCACCCCCGCAAAGCACTTTGCCTCAGGAAATGGAGAAGTCACATCTGTCCCAGACAACTATGGAAACAAAGAATGACCTGAGCCCTGAAAAACCTTTATTACAAGAAGTATTATGTCAAGGTGGACTTCTAAATAACTCCTACCCAAAATAAACATCACTGTGTGGCCAGGTGTGGTGGTGCACCCCTGTAATCCCAGCGCTCGGGAGAGGCTGAAGTAGGAGGATTGCTATGAGTTCAAGGCCAGCCTCGGCCACAAAGTGAGTTCAAAGCCACGCTGAACTCCAGTGAAAAACCCTGTCTCAAAAAGACAAAAGACAAACAAACAAAAACAGAGTGAGACCAGAAATGATGAGGAAAGAGAGGGTCAGGTAAAGAGGAAAGTTCCAGCTACAGGTGAGAGTTGTATCTCAGGTGTGGTGCTGCTGATTCACCGACCAGCACCACTTCCCTCCAATTCACACAAAGTTCAGAAATAGCAAAGAAACTTGTCAAAAGAATTAAGATGTATTATGTACATGTATCCACTCTGCATGATTTAATCATGCACTCCAAGCATATATTAATAATTTTTTTAAAGAGGTACATAGTTAGTGTGTAAATTAAAAAAAAAAAAAAATCGAAGAAACTTGCAGCTGGCCATGGTGTCACATGCCCGTAACCCAAGCACTCAGAAGGCTGAGGCAGGAGGATCACCAAGGGTTCAAGACTGCCCTGGGCCACCTAGTGAGTTCAAGTCCAGCCTAAGCTACATAGTGAGACCCTGTCTCAGAAAACAACACAACAACACAAAACAAAGAAACTTGATTTTCCTGAATGAGTTCATACTAAATGTACCATTCATCTAAAAAAAAATTCAAAAATCCAAACATAAAGGAAACATTAAACTTGTCTGGCAGATGACTACAGAATAAGGAAGACTCTGAGGAAACTCCACCTTCTCCCACATCCACCTGGCCCAGCTGGCTGCCAGAGAGGGAAGATGCTGCCGCAAGGCTTTTCTCAGCTGCGTAGCAGAGGGCTCAGCTCCTTGGATTCTCCAATCAACAGTGGAGGACAGCAAGGCTGGACCCGCCGTTCACAGACCACGCTGCACACCAGAATCACTGAGAGCTTGCACAACTGAGACGCCAGGCAGGCGCCCCCAGGGGGAGTCAGAACACCTGGGACTGGCCCTGCGTGAGGGTGTTCGTAACTCTCTTTAGGTGACTTGTGTGCAGTAAAGTTTGGTGACCAAATGAATGGGTCACATCTGACAGGGACTGGGTTACAATCACCTGCCTAGCTTGGATCCCCGGCATTGAAACGAACAACTTTTTATCCCATTAAAGGAGACAAAAAAACACGAACCCCACCAAGTATACAACCACAAACCCTTTGTGGAAAAGCCTTGGAAAAGGGGTGCAGCTCAGTGAGGGAGCCCGAGCTTAGCATGTTCCAGGGCCTAGATTCAACCCCCAGCACAGACACACACACACACACACACACACACACACACGCAGGCACACACACAATGTGCTACTTCTTACAATTTAATACAAATTATTTCAAGGGGTCTGTGTCTATTTTTGTGCTAGTTTGTTTGTTTCTGTATTACTATGGATCAAACCCTGGGTTCCCACACGCTAGGCAAGGGCTGTAACTCTGAGCTACGCTCCTAACCCTGAAGGTTTTTAAAGAACAATGAAGCGAATTGCTCTCTGGCTACCTGTAAATATTTAGAGTACAAAGAGAAATAGGACCTTCACAAATAATTCTTTTTTTCAAGTACGTATCGTATTAGCTCTGATTTCCAGTCTACTAGAGAAGCAGTATTTATGGTCCCCTTTGAGACACCAAAAGAAAGGCCTGTAAATGAACAAACTAATACAAAAGAAAGGAAAAGTTTTGTGAGAACACAGTAAATACACTCTACCAGCCCTAGCAGCGAAAGCAAGCAGAACAATGACTTATCACCTACGTGCTCCGCAGGCTTCCTGCTCCGCTCACTCTCTGGCTTAGGACGTGAACATCCACCTTCTGCATGTGCTCTCTTTGGTTGGTTCTGCTTCAGTTTTTGTGCCCACGTTGTGACAGATTTATTACTTAAAAAAGGATAACAAAAATTATTTTCTGGTTGTTTTTTTTTTTTGGTACCGGGAATTGCGCTTGCCAGGCAGGCACTTGTGCCACTGAGCTACATCCCCAGCCCCATAATATGTTGTTTTTGTTTTTTTCCCAAAATTATTTTCTTAACTGCTGTCCTTCACACATGAAAGTAACACAGGAGATACTGCATTGGTGGAAAATGTTCCAAGTTGTTTTTCTAGTAGTGTAAGATGGTGGATTTGTATTAACCCTAAATTTCGTTTTTCAAAATCTTATTACCAAAGACAAAGTAAAGAAAAAGACAAACAGTGGCCAACAACATATAGTCTGATTGAGCATGGTGGCACATGCCTGTAATCTCAGCTAGTTGGGAGGCTGAGACAGAAGGATCTCAAGTTCTAGACCAGCCTGGTCAACTTAGTAAGCCCCTACGGCAAAAACCAAAAAAACAAAACAAAACAAAAAAGGCTAGGCATGTAGCTCAGGGTTAGAGTATTTGCCTAGTATAGATGTGATCGCTTCTTGGCCGTTTGGCTAAGATCAAGCGTAGTATATGTGAGACTCTGCCAAAAAACCCCAAAATATCTAAGATATAGAGTCTGCAGCCATGGAATAGAACACAACCACACCCAAACCCCCTTCAAGTTCAACAGATCTGTGCTGCGAAAGCACATTTCTTGGCAGGAACTAAAAAGTGTATGTGACTTATGTTGCTACAGCTAAATACCTTACTTTATTTTTTTATTTTATTTTATTTTATTTTTTTTTGGTTTTTCTCCGGTACTGGGAACCGAACTCACGACCTTGCGCTTGCCAGGCAGGCGCTTTTGCCGCTGAGCTAAATCCCCAGCCCTAAATACCTTACTTTAGATGATACCTTGCAGAGATATAAAACTAATCATTTATGGTAAAGTATAAAACTTTACAAAAAACAAAAACAAAAACTTTACAAGATTGTTTTGCAAACGTTCAGCCACAGCTGCCTTCACTACAAAGTCCCTGAGTCAATTAAAATGTCATTAAATTTACAAAAATTGCTCCCGTGTATAAAGGACAAGACTAAGTGTGCCTGCCTATAATTTTTGTTCCAAATCACATAGACATGTGACAAAATCTCACTATTAATATAGTCCTACCCATGCTCTAATTTTTACCAAGGGATTAGAAAATATAAAAAGTATTTTCCGGGCAAGATCTCCCACCTTAAGAGTTTAACAGTTTTATAACTGCAAATGGTAAGAAAGTCAGGTGTTATTAGTATAGAACATGCTTTATTTCAATTTTCCACATACAACAAATAAAAGACTTTGATATTAGTGATAAAAGTATCTGTCTTTTTTTGTTGTTGTTACCGGGAATCGAACTCACGACCTTGCACTTGCCAGGCAGGCACTTGTGCCACTGAGCTGTATCTCCGCCCTAGTGATAAAAGTGAAACTTTTTTTTTTTTTTTTGGTCTTTTTGAGACAGGGTCTCATTATGCCATCCAGACTGGTCTTGAACTCACTTTGTAGCCCAGGCTGGCCTCAAACTTATAATGATCCTCCTGCCTCAGCCTCCCAAGTGCTGGGATTATAGGTGTGCACCACCATGCCTAGCTGATACATGTTTTAATACAGCTCATTCTATTATAGTTCAGATGAAAGTTCACTAGATTCTTTTTTTTTTTTTATTTTGTACCAGGAATTGAACTTAAGACCTTGTACTTGCCAGGCAGGTACTAATACTAAATGTTATAAACAAGTAAAACTCCCCTCAAATTATGGAGAAACTCTACCTACCTATTTGCTTTTCCACTATACACTTCAGAAATCTTATTTTCACCGAGAAAATTATGTTCAAATTTGCCAGGAAAAGTGTTATTATGTTCTTGCAAAGATGTACAAAATTCTTCAGGAGTATGCATATAAAAACTCCCATTTCCTAGGCCATCTTCAGGGGAATCCACCTGGACCCCAGACCCTGCATCCTGCCCCTTAGAAAGGCCTGCATGAAGGTCCACGGGCGCTGCGGAGCCTTTAGGCTTGGAGGTGTTCAACTCTGAGACACAGAAAGTGCCATAGCCACTGCTCACAGAACTGCCATCCACATTGCAGTCTGGTTTTGATGCGTCCCCTCCGTGCTGCATCTTGGGTTCCTTGGACTCAGGATAACTAGTGACAGATTCATTTCTTTCACTGTTTTCAGAAAAAAAACCCATTTGACTTTCTGAAGACACGTGTTTGCTAGAAGACCTTATATCACAGGAAGCCCATGAAGAATTATTGATCTGTAATTTGATTAGATTTTTTATCTCCTCCTGTATACGCTGCGAACAAAAAGTTACAGATTGGGTGAGAAATATTATACATTTTTAGAAATGTCATGAAAATACTGTATTTCAAAATATGTTACTACTCTAAATACCAAGTCTTCTCTTTAGATTGCAAAATTGATAAATGAATTGGTTTTGTTTTTGTTTTTGTTTTGGTCTCTTTGAGACAGGGTCTTACTATACAGTTCAGGCCGGTCTTGAACTCACTTTGTAGCGCAGGCTGGCCTTGAACTTGCAATGATCCTCCTGCCTCAGCCTCCTGAGTGCTGGAATTACAGGCATGCGCCACCACGTCGATCTTACAAATATTTTTAAAACATCAACAATAAATGAGAACTTACTTGAATTTGGTTGTGGAACTGTTCCTGCTGCGCAATTATCTGTTCTTGGCATTGTTTTTCCACCAAATTGAACAACTGTAACCACCTGGCCTATTAAATTACAAAATATCTTAGTTAAAAAAAAACTATTTCATAGAAAAGTTACTGCAGTGAGAAATGCCCTTTTCAGAAAACAGCACTTATAATGTAAAATTTATAAGCCAAATTAATTGTAGGGCTGAGGGTAGAGCTCAGTGGCACAGTGCCTGCCTGGCAAGCACAAGGTCCTGAGTTCGAGTCCCAATACCAACAAAAAAAACACAAAACAAAACCAAATTAATTGAAAAAATATACTTGATAAACATATACAAGGACAGATGCCTTTTTCTTACATATTCTACAGTCTGGGTAAATCAGAAAGTCCGGGTGAGTCTTATACTTCTTTTTTGTTGATGTTTTATTTTTGTTTTTGTTTTCAAGACAGGGTCTCACAATGTAGCACAGGCTGGCCTTGAACTCACCATGTAGTCTGGGCTAGCCTTGAACTCACAGAGATCCTCCTGCCTCAGCTTCCAGAGTGCTGCGATCACAAGTGTGTGCCACTACACCCTGCGAGTCTTGTACTTCAAATGGTATCTTGATTTGATGTCATCTTCTATCATTTCTGATTAATCAAGAACTGGCAGGTGCACTTTATATCAGTCTTAAATTCCTTGTCCTTTTTTCAAATTAAAATGGGTCTTTACTATCTGCATTTTTCATATTTTAAGGAATTGGGCATGCAATTAAGGATTTTTCCCTCTGCACAGCTTTAAATACAAATAGCCTGAATGGGGAGCCTGACTCCCGGATCTCCACTGACAACCTGTACGGTCCTAGAAAAATAATTTTCATCTCTTTGCATCTCAGTTTCCTAATTTATAATATGGGACTGTAACACCTCATAGGTGTCTGGCAAGATTAGATTTTAAATTTAACTACTGTGCATCTAAAAGTGATCTCAATAAAGAAAAGAATTGCCTTTTGTTGTTTTTTTTTTTTTTTGGGGTTTTTCTCCGGTACCGGGAACCGAACTCACGACCTTGCACTTGCCAGGCAGGCGCTTTTGCCGCTGAGCTAAATCCCCAGCCCCAAGAATTGCCTTTTGGAAACTGTAAAGTCACGATCATCTAATCACAAAGGGGGAACGTGCCTCACATTTATAGTGGGCGGGTTCCAGTGACACCAATCACAGTATCACAGCATAGTCCCCCACAGTGTCCTGTGTCCATTTTAGACTATAAAAATAATATATTTTGCAGTTTTCATACTACCCAAAATAAACTTAGGTATTACAGAATTTCATCAGAAGTATTTCAGAAAAATCATGTCTCTAAGGGAGGAGGCACTCAGAATATCTGGATCAAGATATGCCTGGGGTCAGGAGTGGTAGATCCCAGCACTCTGTGATCTCAGCACTTGGGAGGCTGAGGCAGGAGGATCACTCCAAGTTTGAGGCCAGCCTGGGTACATGGTGAGTTCAAGGCCAGTTTGAACTACACAGTGAAACTCTGTCTCAAAAAAAATAAAGATATGGCTGGGGCTGGGGAGGTAGCTCAGTGTTAGAACATAGGTACAAGGCCCTGAGCCGGGCGTGGTGGCACATGCCTGTAATCCCAGCACTGGGGAGGCTGAGGCAGGAGGATCGTTGTGAGTTCAAGGCCAGCCTGGGCTACAAAGTGAGAGCCTGTCTCACAAAAAAAAAAAAAAAAGGCCCTGGCTCAATGCCCAGCATCACAAAAACAAACAAAACCACCATGGCTGTATTGATCTCCATAAGCAGCTGCTATATTTATAGTGAGTCTGTGTATTGTTTAGGCAAACACCAAACAACTTTCTTATGACTTCTAATGAAGATGTGGCTGAGTGCCGAATCCATGCTTTGTGCATATTACATAAGCACTCAACCACTATATTGCTTTCTTTGAAAGGAGTACTGGATGAGCCGGGCATGGTGGTGCACGTCTGTAATCCCAGCACTAGAGAGGCTGAGGCAGGAGGATCATTGCAAGTTCGAGGCCAGCCCGGGGTACAAAGTGAGTGCAAGGCCAGCCTGAACTGCACAGCAAGACCCTGTCTCAAAAAGACAAAAAAAAAAAGAAAGAAAGAAAAAGAAAAAGAAATGAGTATTGGTACATTACCTATGGATTTTACTTAAGAATAATATAAATTGTGGTTACTTTTTTTTTTTATCCCCAGCCCACAACACTACATTTTTATTTTACTTTACTTTTTTTTTTGTTTTGTTTTTTTGGTTTTTTTTGAGACAAGGTCTCACTATGTAGTGCAGGGTAGCCTTGAACTCACCACATAGCCCACGCTGGCCTCAAACTCTCCACAGTGATCCTCCAGCCTCACCTCCTGAGTGCTAGGGTTACAGACATGCACCACCACACCTGGCAACCTTCTATTTTTATTTTTTGGGTACCAGGAATCGAACTCAGGACCTTGTGCTTGCTAGTCAGGCACTTATGCCACTGGGCTATATATCCCCAGCCCAACCTTCGATTTTTAACTGCCTCATTTGCAATGGAATTTCACAGGCCTTTCACTTTACATATACCGAGTGTTATGTGGAAAAGCCATAGAATGTACAAAAAAGGAAAAGTTAATTTTCTAAAGTATGCAGTAATAGGCTGGTTTGGTGGCACAAGTCTGTATTCCCAGCACTCTGGAAGCGAAGGCAGGAAGACTGTGAGTTAAAGGCCAGCCTGGGCTACACAGTGAGTTCACAAGCAGCCTGAACTATATAGAGAGACCTTGTCTCAAAAAAAAAAAAAAAAAAAAAACAACAACTATGCAGTAACAGTTATTTTTAGAACTTTAGTCATTATGATATATGAATATAAGTAATTATCACATTTGGGGTATATGTATTGAATTCTTCAACCAGGTAATCTTTCACTTTACTTTCTTCTGTATTCTGAAAAACAACACAAATTATGGTTCTAAAAGTACAATTTACATTTAAGCTGGGGATATAGCTCAGTGACACAAGCACCTGCATGGCAAGCACAACGTCCTGAGTTCGATTCCCAGTACTAAAAAAAAAAAAAAATTTAAAACAAAATCTACTGTTAAGAATTTAGTAATAACATTGTACGTTTCTATAAAGAATTACCAACTCTAGCTTATTTTTAAAAACAGGAAAAGTCCACCTTGCACACCATTCTATAAAATAAAAATTTTAAGTATTCTTTTAACAGTGCTGGGGATCAAGCCTGGGGCCCCTCATAAACTGGGCAAGTGATCTACACTGAGATACACTCCCAACCCCCATTATATTTTTATATCATAATTTAACTTATGTATGAGCCTGGCCTGGAGGTGCACGCCTATAATACCAGCACTTGGGAGGCTGAGGCAGAAGGATCATTGCGAGTTCGAGACTGGCCTAGGCTACAAAGTCAGCTGAAGGTCAGCCTGAACTGCATAGTTTTGTTTTTTGTTGGTTTTTTTTTTTTTAGTACAGGGAATCGAACTCAGGACCTTGCACTTGCCAGGCAGGCGCTTGTGCTGCTGAGCTATATCCCTGGCCCAGCCTGAACTGCATAGTGAGACCCTGTCTCAAAAAAAAACAAAACAAAACAAAAAAAAAACATATATATGAAAGAAAGAATCAGTGACCTGAAAACAACAGAATACCATGCATCATAGCTAAATGTGATAAAGTACTAAACAGAAGTCTACACAGGCAAGCACAAGGTCCTAAGTTCAATTCCCAGTACCAAAAAAATAATAAATAAAAAATAAACAGAAGCCCAAATTTAGAATTAAAACATTCAAAATATTTCAAAGTAAATTTAGGTTTTTCAAAATGGGGTCCATTCCATCTCAGTAATTTTTTCACATTTGTTCAGTATCGTTCCCCAATTAATATGCCCGATGAGTTTAGCAATAAATTAAGTAACATGCTCTTCTGGACATAAACTTCTAATAATTTAGACTTCAGTGCAGGTTCATTTAAAAAGGCAAAAGATTTAGACGCTCTGAAGAGAAACCAGAGTATAGTGCAGGTTCACTTAAATGTCATTATTTTAAAATCCCAAAAACAAAACAAGATACCTCACAGTTTTTCCAGCGCTCTGAATCAGTCTTCCCACCGTTCTGTAGCTCTTGCATGAAAGAAGCTAGAAGCTCCACTGTGCCCTGGATGGCAGGCAGCCTGGTCTTCCCTGAGAAAGAGGACACCCCATTTGTACTAAGGCGGGGACTACTTCTGTGGAAACATAAATCATTCAGATCGTTTCTTCATTCTACCCGAGCGCTGAATACTTAAGCGGTTCATGATTTCACAGAGCAGCATAAAACCACTGACATTTAATCCTTCTAACTGGTACCTCATCTGTGAAAATCAGATCACAAGTTTGTCCACCAGAGGAAAACAGCAGTAAAATGACAGACAATACTTTATTTTCTTGAGAGTCCAAAGAAAGACCTTCTGCAGGAACACCGGAGTGCTGGGAGGAAACAGGATGTGTTAACATCTTAAAAAAAACTCCCAGCTCCCCTGCTTTAACTCACCCAGAGGAGCGCTCCGGCCGCCCCGAGCACAGCCCCACACTGTATGCAGGCGATTCTGCCTCCGCTGCCCCAAAGATGGTCAAGTCTCGTTACCAGGGTCCCCTCACTTGGTGCGATGAGCTGATGCTTATCCCTGCACTGGCACTGAATGAAAGCTGCACCAAGCAAATTAACAGCAAATATTCAGGACTTCCTTAGCCTATTCAGTATGTAAAACACTGATCCTTCCCAGGAAAGACTGCTCTTCCGAACTTGAGTAGATCAGATTTGCTTGAGTGGCACACAAAGCATAATACAGGACCCTAAAAGTGGTTTAAAATCTACTCATTCAAAGATTATTTTCGTCTATGTATTGATTTATACCCTGTTTTTCACACGGAATTTAAAAAGAGGACACAGTAAATAAAGACCAGGGAGAGTATTAAAATTCAAGGGAAAAAAGAACCTAGTATGTCGTCCAAAACGGATTTACATAGTTGTAATAATGTAGTTTCAATCTGGTGAATTTACCTGCCACTCCTAAGAAAGGAGGAGACAAGCACCACTGCGTAATTTTCAGGAGGAAAGCACGTTTGCGTTCCTCCAGGCAAATCAAACACCGTATTTTTCTTCTAGATGTGGACCTCAGAGAGGCCACTAAGTGACACAGGAGACAAAACGTGTGGCCAGTCTTCAGCACGCGTGCACAGATTACCGCCGCAGGCAGCTCTTTCAAGCCCCTTCTTACTCTAAAATTACCTCTCATAAATTACCTAATTTATGCTTTACTTCATTTTATATATTTTTAGGTTCCTCAGGAAGGCAGAGAATGAACAGTTTATTTTTTGTTTTTTTGAGTCAGGGTCTCACTATGTAATCCAGGGTGCCTTGAACTCACTATATACACGAGGGTGGCCTCAAACTCGTGGCACTCCTTCTGCCTCAGCCTCCCGAGGGCTAGCGTCACAGGCATGTGCCACCATGCCTGGCTAAAAATGAACAATTTTTAATGTTATTTATCACTTTCTTCAAAAGCCTTGTATATAAAGCTATCTGTCTCTTCACCAACAGGCCCCAGTCCACTACCTTTTCGCTATCCTGGATGTACCTGCTTTTTGTAATTGATCACTTCTTTAACAGGACCTACCTCTGCTATTCTAAGCTACCATAAATTTAGAAACCAAACAATCAAGCTTGTTAGACTTTGTGTAAATGGAGAATAAACAGCCTCTGATTAAAAACACATACTTGGGGGCTGGGGATTTAGCTCAGCGGCACAAGCGTCTGCCTGGCAAGCGCAAGGTCATGAGTTCGATTCCCGGTACCAGAAAAAGAAAAAAAAAAAAATACTTGGGCTGGGGTGTACCTCAGTGCTAGAACAGCTGTTTAGCTGGGTTCAAGGCCCTAGGTTCAATCCCCAACTCCACAAAACAAAACCACAATAGATATTTTAAAAAGAAAATGCAAGGGCTAGGAGTGCAGCTGAGTGGTAGAGCACTTGCCTAGCTTGCAAAAGGCCCTGGGTTCCACCCCCCACACCACAAAATAAGAAGACATATTGGACCTTTTCTCTGCTGTGCTAACACGTGCCTGTAACCCCCTCAGGGAAGCTGAGACAGGAGGATCCAAAGTTAAGGGCAATTTAGTGAGACTCTGGCTCAAAACAAAAGAAAACCCACAGCACTTGGGAGGCTGAGGCAGAACTCTGTGAGTTCGAGACCAGCCTGGGCTACAGCAAGATCTTTTCTCAAAACAAAACAAAGCTGCAAGGGAGGACAAGCTCAGCGGTAGAGCACCAAAAAACAAGCATTATTTTACTATCATACTCAGAGTCTGCAGAGCCTGTTTTTACTTAGCTTTTTACTATTCAACTTTAACTGCTGCTTTTCAGCATGGTGAGATGGTTCCACAATATAAAACATTATTTGTACCATTAATTTAGAATGTAGAAATAATATTTAAACTACAGTTTAAAGATATGTTTGTAATTTGTCAAAAAGGAAAAAAGTATGAAGAAAAATACAACCAGCAAAGTAAGTTCTTTTTCACAATGTTCCAATCCAAAAGTACATCTCTCTAGTAGGCAAAAAAAAACCTCCAAAAGTACATCCTTAGCAGAATGAAAAAAAGCAGGATGACTAAACTATTCTCAACATTCCGTCAATAGTTGCTGATCATAGTTGCTGTGTTTTGTTTTGTTTTTAACAAACACAAATCAGCAAAAACACCACTTGGATAAATTGTTAAGTTATCAAGCAACATTATTTTGGTTTGCGGTTACATTAAAAAATCTTTGTTGTTACATTGAAAAGTATCTATCCCATTCTTACCTATTAGTATTTAAGCTCAGTCCATGAGAATGGGGAGAATTTTTGATATCAGATTCTACAGAAGATGAAGTTTTTTGTAAGGTTTTCACCAAGTCAAAATCTTCCATAGTGTACAGAAATTGTTACACTCTCTTATTTGAAAATACAGGTTCTTTTACTGTTTGAGGAAACTGAATCCGAGTCATCTTCAGATGCTTCGTCGTCTACCAGCATTTTCAGTTGCTAACATTCAAAACTGTAAAATTTCCTAAACTTCCAAGACAGTCTGAAAATGAACGAGGAAAAAAAAATACTACTATAAAAAGCCACTAACTTAGCAACTGTCTTTTCAGATTTTGAAAACTTTCACTTCTTTCATGTAAATGTACATTTAGGACAGCAATAGTTTTTTTGTTTTTGTTGTTTGGTTGTTTTTGTTTTGGGTACCAGGAGTCAAACTCAGGACCTTGCACTTGCCAGGCAGGTGCTGTGCCGCTGAACTACATCCCCAGTCCTGGCTGTTTTTTGAGACAAGGTCTTACCATGTACTTCAGGGTGGTGTTAAACTCACTATGGAGCCCACGCTGGTCCTGAATTCACAGTAGTCCTCCTGCCTCAGCCTCCCAAGTGCTGGGATTACAGGTGTCCACCACCATGCCCATCTAGCAACCTTCTTTATAATGACCAAATTGTAGAAACCCAAATGTTCATCAACAGATAAAATGAGCACATCTATTTAATGGATTATTCAGCCTTAAAAAGGAATGAAAATGAGTGTAGTGGCACACACTATAATCCCAGCATCTGTGAGACTGAGGCAGGAGGATAACGTGGTGGAGTCCAGCTTTTACTTAGCAAGACCTTGTGTCAAAAAACAAAAGGGACTGGAGATGTAACTCAGTATGCAACCCCTGGTACTGAAGAAAAAATAAAAGAAGGAAGGAAACAAAAACGTATGTTACAATGTGGGTGAACAGTGAAAACAACGTGCTAAGTAAAAAGAACCTGCCACAAAGGAACACAGTGTTTCCACTGGTATGAGCTATCTAAAATAGGGAAATCCAGGAGGGAGAGGCAGGCAGGTCACTTCGAGTTCAAGGCCCGTTCAAGGCCAGCCTGAATTACACTGCAAGACCCTGTCTCAATAAGAAAGTAAATGAATGAATGAATAGCAAACCCACAAAGACAGAAAGTAGATTAATGTGTACCAGGAGCTGGGGGACGGAGGAACAGAGTGACTGCAATGGGTACAAGGTTTCTTCTGGGGTGATAAAAAGTTCTGGAATTACATGGCATGATGGTCCCACAGCCTCATCAATGCTCTAAACACCACTGACTCACACACTTCAGAAAGGGTGAATTTTAAGACATGTGAATTATATATCTCAATGAAAAGCCTACATGAAGGGCGATATGCAAAAAGAAGCATCACTGCTTCCAGGAAATATTTCAGAATTTTATGTTAAAAATCAAGGTTCAAGGGCTGGGGATTTAGCTCAGCGGCAAAAGCGCCTGCCTGGCAAGCGCAAGGTCGTGAGTTCGGTTCCCGGTACCGGAGAAAAACCGAAAAAAAAAAAAAAAAAAAAAAAAATCAAGGTTCAAAACAACTGTTACATAACAATTGGAGCACTTCATCCTTATGCATTTATTTAATTCTACCAAGTATACATGCTTGTTGATTTGTACAGTGACCAGAAGAATTTAACGACCTAGCTGGGTGTAGTGAGTGGCACAGGCCTGTAACCCCAGCACTCAAGAGGCTGAGGCAGGAGGGTTGCTGGAGTTCAAGGCTACCCTGGGCTACAAAATGAGTTTCAAGGCCAGCCAGAACTGCACAGTGAAACCCTGTCTCAAAAAAAATTAACTACCTCGTCTTTAATTTGCCATCAACAAGAGCAAATTAAACTGTTAACACATTTGTCTCTCCATTGGCTGGTGTACATTTTGCACTAAATAGCTGTTTGTATGCTGTATGCATCATTTTGTTTTTTAAGGTTTTCTTTGAGAGAGGGTATCACTATGCAGTTCAGGCTGGCCTTGAACTCCCTATGTAGCCCAGGTTGGCCTCGAACTCAGCGTGATCCTCTCACCTCAGCCTCCCAAGAGTTGGGATTACAGGCATGCATCTCCATGCCTGGCTATGCATGCATCATTTCTTTAACGAACTATTTGTCAAGCATTGAAGGAAGGATCAGGGGATGGGGATCTACCTCAGCAGCACAAATGCCTGCCTGGCAAGTGCAAGGTCCTGAGTTCGATTCCCGCCACCAAAAAATAAAATAAAAAGATCAACCCCAGCACTCAGGAGGCTGAGGCAGGAGGACTGTTGCCAGTTCGAGACCAGCCTGGGCTATAAAGTGAGCTCAAGACCTGCCTGAACTGCAAAGCGAGACCCTGTCTCAAAAAGACAAAAAACAAACAAACAAACAAACAAAAAAAAAGATCAAGGAAGGAAGAGAAAATTTTCAAAAAAGAAAAAGAAAAACTATGCTGCTTACAAATGAAAAGTTACGAGGGTGTTACGGAGAAAACCATCTAACGTTTTGGTTCCTTTAGATTCCCCTCTCTAGGGCCCGGTTTTACAAAGCACTGTTGTACACAAAAACCATCAGCTCATCAAGGAAGCACTTCCTGCAGGGACAGGTGTGAAAGCCCAGGGTAACCGGACCTAACTCAATGGCCTTCGCCCGGTGGCTCAGCCCATCACTACGACAAATGAGGCATTGAAAAAGCCAGGAGCTGCGGCCCCTTCCAAGTGGGCAACGAGCACCTGGCTTCCAATCACCCCGCTCTAATACCAGGGAAAGGCCAGTTCTCCAGGGAGGCGGAGCTCCAACCCTTTCTATTTTCCCCGCTGAGGTCACCGGATGCAGCAGATGCAGATGGAAAACCTCGAGAAATTCAGATGCTTCTCCGGATGGCGGGGCGGGGGGGAGGGGTAAAGAAAGAAGAGATTTTTTTTTTTTTAAACCCTGTAACGGTGCTGAATTTTGAAAGGTGAGACAAACTTGACAGGGAATGAATAGAGGATCAGACATTTTTATATTTTCCAGCAGTAAACTAGGACGCCTCCACCCCCACCCCCCACCCCACCCCCGCAGGAACGGGGACTGGGCAAAGGGGACGAGTCACCGGGTTCGACCAGCAATCTGAAAGTTAACGAGGCGCCCGCTCCGCTGGGATAATTTCCAGGGTTGGGACCATTTCGTGACACAGTCGCCCTCATAGCCAGACCTCGGTCGCCGTGGAAGAGGCCGGGTCCTAGTGGACAGGCGATAACGAACCCCATGCAGTTGCCTGGGACACAGATACCAAGGAGGAGAAGCCACGGCGGCGACATCGTGATTTCCAAAGGAAGCACAGGCAGCAGGTCAAAAATAAATAAATAAAAAGAACCCACCAGCCCCCCGCCCCTCGGGAAGGGCGCTCTGCGATTGGGTCGCGCGGGTGTCACTCAAGGGCACCGAGTCTAGAAAAGGCGCTCGCAGCACGCCACAGCCCCCACACACCAGCGGGCTCCGGCGGGGTCGGTCACCTGTCTTGGTCGTCAGGGCCTAGCCCATCAGCAGACTCAGGGTTCCACCTAAATGTACTCTTCTAAGTCTCGCCCCCCGTCCCGCGGTGGCAACTCCCCGCAGGAGGAGCGCCACTTACCTGACCGCCGCTTCCACAGCAGTCAGAGCAGGGCGACTGGCCTCTCGCGACCGTTAAAACTCGAAGGAGCGTGCGTGCCCCCGGCGCATCATCCGCGATTGGCTGCTCGGGAGGGGGCGGAGACAGCCGAACGGCGCGAGTCGACCTTCTTCCCTGACGCGCAGCTCGCTCTCTGAGGTCCGACTCCAGGGAGGCCGGAGGAGGGCGGGGCTTGCATCAACCTGTCCCCTCTGATTGGTTCTCTGGGCACCTACCACTCCCACGCGGGAAAGAAACCTCAGCTTCTCGCATGCGCAGTTACTGAGAATGCGCCTCCAGCCAGTGAGGGAAGGCGCGGCAAGTGTACGGCGCGTGCGCAGAGCCCGGAACGCGCTTGCGCTTCGGGCTTTGCAGTGGTTTGGGGTTCTCCTTGAACGTTTCCAGCTGGAGGCCAGTTCTGAGACCAGGTAAGCGTCCGTGCGCTAGGCAGGCACCCGTACGGCTGCCCACGACTCTCCGGGCCTTGGGAGAGAGGACTGGGAGAGAGGGTGCCTGAGTTTTCCCCGTCTCGGGACCGTGAGTCGCGCTGCCATTTTACCTGAAGACTCGCTGGTGGGGAGGTGGAGCCAGCCGTGGAGCCCTGAGTTGAGTTTTCCCAGGACTCGATTTACCCTGAGCTGCTGGGGCGGAGAGAAGAACTCACCGCCCGGAGAAAACGGCTCCGCGGAGGCCCCAGGAGAGTCGGGTCCGTCGGAGGAGTGGCGCGTGGTTGCCAGGCTTGGAGAGGGCTGCGGAGAGCCCGCCTTGCCGCCCTGTCCCCGCGCAGCGGCAGGCTGGTCAGCCTTTCAGGTCCTTCGGGCGCTCAGCCTTGCCCCGGCGTCCTGACCCAAGCTGTCACTCGCAGGCACGGTCCCTTAAGGGTGCCAGAGGTGGCGCTGAGAAACCAGCATGGGGAATGTGTTTGCCCTTGGGATGACAAACGTGCCGGGGATCACCCCATCCCACCTGCGCCTCTTCAGAATACCTTCTCATTATTTTTCAACAGTGCAACTTTGTCTCCATCCAAATCCCCACCAGTGTAGGTCAGATCTCAGGCTTATATAACTTGAAGCCCTCCCCCACTACTAATGCGGGTTTAGTCCACCGGTCCATATTTTAGGCTTGTGTCACAAAGCAAACCCACGATTGGTAAGCACACTGCTGTTTTCACGGACCATATTTTAAGGCCACCAAAGGAGAAAAGCGGAAGCAGTTTTATCAGCTAATTTCACTTGGTTACAAAATGCAGAGACACCTTATGATTTCACACTCGCAAAAGAACTGAGAAGTGTGAATTCCTGAGACAGCTCCAGGCTGTGTTTCTCTACTAAGAAAAATACTAACCCAAATGCAACTAGTGATGATGAGTTATTAACCATGCAGTAGACAGTTGATGGCTGTTGGCTATGACCTCTGATGGGATTGGTTATTTTGGGAGTGGATATTTTGATTTTTGTTTTTAGCAGTGTGACTTTTTTTTTTTTTTTTTTCCAGTATGGGGATTGAATCCAGTGCCTTCAAACTGAGCTACAGGGCCGGGGATATAGCTCAGTGGCACAAGTGCCTGCCTGGCAAGCAAAAGGTCCTGAGTTTGATTCCCGGTACCAAAAAAAATAAAATAAAATAAAAAACTGAGCTACATCCCTAGCCCTTTATTTTTTAAAACAGTATGATAATTGCCCAAGTTGGGTTTTAATTTGTAATCCTGTTGCCTCAGCCTCTCACAGAGTTTGGGATTATGGACATGCGCCACCAATCCTGGCTTGCTAATTTTTTTTTTTTACATACTTTCTTTTTAATTTGCTTGTCTTTTTTAAATTATTATTGTTTGTTGTCATCGTTGTTTCAGACAAGGTCTCACTCTGTTTTCCGGGCTAGTCTCAAATCCATGGGGATCCTTCTACCTCAGCCTCCTGAGTCTGGGATTACAGGCATATGCCACTACACCTGGCTATAAGTTCTTTGTAACATCAAGTTTTGAAGTATATTGTTTGTCTTGAAGGCATCAACTTGACATCTTTTGAGTAGAGCTCTTTCACATTAATCAGGCGATTCAGAAGTTGGGCTGACAATGGTTTGAGGCCTATAGTATCTGTCAAACAGGATGTCACTTTGTGTCTTTCTCTTGTAGTAATAGGGGTTGAAACCTGAGGCTCAAATATGCTGGGCCTGTGATCTACCACTGATCTGTACTCCCAGCCCTTTTTATTAAACATAGAAAATTATTGGATTTACATTTAATATGTGTGTTTTTCCCGAATTGAATCCAGGACCTTGTGAATGTTAAGCAGTTGCTCTATCACTGGATTATACCCAGACTCCTACATTTGAATTTTTTTTTTGTCTTTTTGACAGAGGGCCTCATTATGCAGTTCAGATTGGTCTTGAATTCACTGCATAGCCCAGGCTGGCCTTGAACTCACAATGATCTGCCTGCCTCAGCCTCCCAAGTGCTGGGATTACAAGCTTATGCTACCATGCCCAGCTCAATTTCTTTGTTTTTAAAACAGGCTCTCACTGTGTAGCCCAGGCTGGCCTTAACCTTATGGTGGTCCTCCTGCCTCAGCCTCCCAAGTGCTAGGATTACAGACATGGGCCACCATACCAGGCTTACAGTTAAATTGTTTTATCTTTCATATCTTTCTTTCTTTCTTTTTCTTTTTTCTTTTTTCTTTTTTTTTTTTTTTTTTTTTTTGGTACTATATAGCATTCTAGAATCCCTAAAGACATTTTTGCTTGGACTAGGACAGATTTGCTGTGGGTGGTTTTATCTTTCACTGTGAGCCTGTGGGGAAATCAGGCTGTATGTAGGCATCATAATGAGTTCCTTGGCACCTGATTTCATAGATCAGAATTATGACCTCACCAAATGGCGTGACTTTAGCAGTTGGATGGTACTTCTTCAACTAGATCATACCAAGTAAGATAATCTGTCAGTTATTCTTCTAAGTTCATTTTCACTCATGAGATAGCCCAGGTGTGGTGGCACATGCCTGTCATACAAGCACCAGAGAGGCTGAGGTAGGAGAATCGCCTTGAGTTTGACGCCAGCCTGAAATACATAGCAAGACCTTGTCTCACAAACAAAAACGTCAGTGAAATAGTGTGCAGGCTGGGTTGATGCCTTAAGACCAACGTAGCTGGATGTCAGAGGCTCCTCCACTGTGTAGCCAGGAGCTGAGTGCTGTTTAATGAGCAGAGAAGCTTGGTCCTTGTGGCCACCTGTGTGCTTCTGTTCTCTGGGCGCTGTCAGCTCCATTTGCAGATGAGGGTATGTGGCCTGCACTGCATAATGAGTCAGTCACGGAGCTGAGACATTGGTCGCAGGACACGATGACTACAGAGCTCACGTTCCTCTGCGTTGTGGTCTTTCTGGGACAGAAAATGGGAGGAAGTGTCAAAAAGAAAGAGGTAAGGAAAATGAGCTACTGTTTATAAGGAACTGAGAAAGAGATCTGGAGATGTCATGAAAGGTAGTGAAACAAGCTGTGGAAAGAATAAATTTAGTTTCAAAAATTTAAAACCTTATTGACTCAGACCTGTAATCCCAGCACACAGGAGGCTGAGGCAGGAGGATGAATTTAAGGTCAGCCTGGGCTACATAGTGAGTTCAAGACCAGTCTGTACTGCATAGTGAGATCCTGTTTCAAAAAAACAAAAATGTACAGGTTGTTGGCATTATGTGATTGGATGCTTTTCTCGTTGTATATTTCATCAGTTATCTCTCAAACGCGGCAGCACTGAGGCGGTTCTGTTTAGACCAGACCTGGAGTGGGCCCCTTTCTCACTTGTCCCCTGTCAACACCGATGCTCTGCGCTCCCTGCAGGATCGGCCGTGCCCTCCTTGCAGGAGGTAAATCTGTGAGCCGAACTCGGGTTCGAGGTGCTTTATGTTCCTGTGATGCCCGAAGCCTAGGGAAGTTCGTAGTCTCGTGGTCTGTTTCCAGCCTGACCCTTACTGCCCATGGCTCCTTGTGGGGACATCGGCCTTCCTAAGGGTCACAGACTTTGGAACAAGAGGACGAGCTCCAGGTAAAAGACCAGGAAAAAGCTCTGTTCTCTTCCCTCACATCTTGCAGAGGGCACCAGAACTCTGGAGGCTGAGGTTGTCGGTCAGTGCAGAGCCCTTGCTGAGCACACGCAAGGCCCAAGATTCCATGCCCCACACTGAGAAGAAACACATCCGTCCTACAGCCTTAACTTGTCAATTCCTGTGTCCCAGAAAAAAGCTTGGCACACTTACCTAGGGCTCGAAATCACCTTGGAATCTTGTTGAGATGCAGCTGGGACAAGGCCTGAGTCCGCGTTCCTGACATGCTTCCCTGGGCTGCTACCAGCCTTGCCTGCAGACCACACTTCGAGCAGCGAGAGCTAGAGCCCCAGCCTCCAGTTCCCTGGCCACCAGCACATAATTAGAGACCACGGAAGCATGGCTGGTCTACACTGAGATGTGCTTTAAGCGCAAACATCGCCCAAACTGGTTTGTATTTTATTTATTTATTTTTTTATATTTTGGTACCAGGAATTGAACTCAGGACCTCATGCTTGCCAGGCAGCCGCTGTGCTGCTGAGCTGTATCCCCGGCCCCAGACTGATTTTTAAATGGCAAACTGAATGAGGGTCTTCACACTGGGCTTATTTTTTATTTTAAGACACGATCACTAAGTTGCCTAGGCTGGACTTGAACTTGGGATCCTACTGCCTCAGCGTCCCAGAGTGCTGGGATGACAGATGTCCACCACTGTACCCAGCACCCCCAGATATTGAAGACAGCATTTGAAAAAAGAACGTAACACCTGGTTTTAACAGTATATGTTCAAATAATACTTTTTAAATCTTGAGTTAAATATATTAGTTTAATCAGTTTCTTTTTATTATTTTTAATGTCACTGCTCAAAAACCTAGAACTCTACATGTGGCCAGTAGCACTCTGCTGGGTGCACTGACCTTGAATACTACCGCAGTACAGACCACATTTACAGTGATCTTTTAGTCAGACAATACTGAGCACCAGAACACAGGCAGCATCCTCTCTCAAGCCCTTAGTTGGCCACCCTTGCTGGCGCATACCTATCATCCCAGAACTTGGGAGGCTGAGGCAGGAGGATCGCTGTGAGTTTGAGGCCCGCCTGGACCACACAGCAAGACCTTGTCTCAATGCCCTACACACACACACACACACACACACACACACAATAGTGAAAGTGAATTTTAGATAAACAGACCCAGAAGGCAGGTCCAGAATCAAATTCTATGCTTTCCTAACAATAGATTCACATCAGAAACGCTTTGTCTTTCTTAGAGACATGAGACATTACCATCTCTGCCACCTTCCCTGGTATCAGGGCTATTGACAACACAGTGTCACCGCCTATATCTAGGTTTTGGTTTGATTTGGGGGTTGTTTATTTGCTACTAGGAATTGGACCCAAGGTCTTCTCACTGAGCTGCATGCCCAGCCAATTGTTTTGTTTTGTTTTTTATTTTGAAACGAGGCTGGTCTCAAACTCTCAATCCTCCTGCCTCAGCCTACTAGAATGTTGGGTCTACAGGTGTGTGCTGCCTCCTAACCTAGTAACCTGGGATCACTCCAGTCCCAGGCCTTGTCACAGAGTCAGACAGGCCAGGCCCACAGCTTTTTTAGGTTGACAGTGGAGGTGCTAGGTCCGGTGGCAGCCAGGCCACTTAGCAGAGTGACAGCCCGCATGACTCCAGCACAGCAAAGGGTGAGCAGCACTGCTCTGTGGTGCCTCATCCTGGGCTGTGGCAGCTGTTGTGTCTGTAGATGTCACGATGTCTCTTTATGGTCCAGGCGTCCTGCCTCTCAGAAGATGTTTAAAATATTCACTGGACCAAGTAACATTCCTGTTTTTAACACCGACAGACTCATCATCTCTGAAGTTGAGCAAGCTGGAAAGGACTCGGACCACAGAGGGGCTTTCATCTAAACCCCGGCCGCTGCTGAGTGCGGAGCTTTGATCAGAGGAAGAGTAGGGCCGGGGGGATCAGGCTGCGGAGTCAGCCCTAATGAGAGCCCGGCGTCAGAGAGGAAGTAGGGCAGAGCCGGCCTGACGGCCGCTTTCCCTAGACTCACGCTTCTTTTTACCATTTTGCCTTTTCTCTTTTTTACTGTCACTAGGAGCTACAGTTTGAGCTTTTATTGTTCCCTAAAGACTTTAGGTTGCTCTGTGGGCATCACAAGAACTGAAATCCAATCCGTATTCTTTGGGCTTCGGGGACGCTTGCCATTTTTAGCAGCCACTGGAGTGGGGCCAGAGCTGCGGGAGACATTAGAAATGTCTAGGATCGGCTGACTGGCCGCTGGAACTAGCCGTTCAACAAAGCAGCCAGTCACCGGACACTGGGGACCTTCTTGAACTTCAGTGGAGTGGGACATCTTCCAGGGTGTCTGCCAGCTCGGAATCAGGACAGGAGGATGAGATCTGAAACGGTGGGCTGTGACAAGGCAGCTGATGACAGTGCTCTCTCTGTCCTTTGTCTGGGACACGCCTGCCTCAGACTAGCTTCCTCTCTTTGTCCCTGCGCCGTGTCCTAGTGCCGCCCTGGCTGGTCACATTCACCACCTAGCGGAAGAGGAGCCCCAGGAGGGGCCTTGGCTCAGGTTCCACAGTGGGTCCACTCTGGGGACCAGCCGCGTGACACAAAGGAGCTGTGTTCTGCCGACTGAAAGGAGACGGAGGAAGGGGACGTTCACGCTATCACACATACTAGTTTCCTGAAGAGATTTCAGAGAAAGTGTCCGGGTGTATTGTTTATCTTTCCTTGAGGGTACTGCTAAGATATTTCACACACAGTGAACAAAAGCAGTTTCAGAGCCCATCTGCGCTATCGCTTACACTCTGTGTTTCAGTGCCAGCCCCTCCCAGCTGCCGAGCCGCTGACCAGCTGTTAACTATCACCCACCAGGACTGGCAGAACCCAGAGAATGTCACAGTGGGCTTAGACCGGAAGGTCAGTCATGGACGTGAAAACTAGCAGCCGTGTAAAGCTTGAAAAGGGTGTCAGGATCCCAGGCGTGGTGGGATCCCATGATCCCAGCGCTTGGGGAGGCTGAGGCAGTGACATGACAAGTTTGAGCTCAACCTGGGCTACTAAGCAAGATCCTACCTCAAAATTTGCTTAAAATAGGGCAAAACAAATATGTTCTGTCTCATTCCAGGCTTTTCTCACGGAAATAGAGCAGAGGGGCTTGGCGGTGTCAGTCTATAAAGGTGACCAGGGGCATTTCAGTGTCTGCTGGCCTGACGAGAAGCTTGCATTTAAACAGGAAGTGTCTTCAATAAGCAGCCCCTTACCTGGAACTCAGGTGTGCAGTCGCAGCTGGCAGTGGGCGAGGGGTGAGCTGGGGGGAGGCCAGTGGCTGCCAGGGCCCGTGGGCAGCGGCACCCCCGAGTTCAGTGCCTGCGTGTTCCTCAGGAAGACCCGAGCCGCAAGGGCACCTGTGGCTCCCGGTCCTGCTGCCAGGCTGCACGGAAGCTCGACCTGGAGCCTCCAGAGGTACAGCCAAGTGCTTTCCAGTACTGAGGGTGGAAGAGAGGGCCGAACACTCTCCCAGCCAAGTGCTCAACCACTGAGGCACGTCCCCAGTCCGTTTTGTTTTTTATTTTGACACAAGTCTTGCTTAGGTGCCAGGCTGGGTTTGAATTTGTGGTCCTGCCCCAGCTTCCCACAGTGCTGGGGCGACAGCTGTGCACCGCCACACCTGGGTCCTCCCTAATCTCTCTTACCGCATATGTGAGGGTGGAGAAGGGCGCATTTGCCCATCTTCCAAGCAGGACAGCAGGGCCAGGTGGTGACTCGCCCCGTTCACGTGGGAAACCTTTCAAACCCTCTTGCTTTTTGGATGCTGGGAGAACGCAAAGGCCCACAGGAGTCACCACCTTCTCACAGCTGTTAGTCCTTGTCGCATTCGCTTGTCAGCGAAGTTGTTGCAACCTTACCTCATGCCATGCCCCAGATCATTGATTAAACCTTGGCTCAGTGTGCGCGAGGCCCAGGGTTCACTCCCCAGCAGCCCCCGTACTTGCTCGGAGGCCTCACTCTCTGAGGGGTGTGGCAGCTCCTTCACACCAGAGTCCAGCTCGCGCCCTCACCGCGCCTCGGGGTGCCCCGAACCACACGGGCCCCTCGGTGAAAGCTGCAGTCTGGCGAGCCACACGATGACGACCAGCTGGATTACATTACTGGCAACGCGTCCCGGGGAGCAGATGTTCCCATTCAAATCCCTGAAACTGGAAACATTCGAAGACAACAATCATGACAGTGATTGATAGGAAAGTTTACTGTGTCAGACTGTTGGAGCTCAGCTGCAAAACAGACGCACACCGCCGCCTTTACCTTCTGATCGCAGACGCACACGCGGAGATACTGCCACTCGACTCAGATCTCAGTGCTTGCTTGATGTACTATTTCATGTTTCTTTATTAAATTACAGCCCCATTTGACTTTCACACTCAAAACCTTCCCGAGAAAACAGCACCTCTGGTGCTTTGAGATATTTTTGGTCTGTTAGCGGGAAATATTTATAGGCTGCCCGGTGAGAACGCAGGGGCGGGGCGGGCTGGAAAGTGTCTGGCTCCACAGTCTCCTGAATACCCTAAAGAAGGTGGGTATTACTCGTGATTATTTTGGTTTGGTTTTTTTGAGAGAGGGTCTCACTACATAGTTCAGGCTGGCCTTGAGCTCACTGTGAAGCCCAGGCTGGCCTCAAACTCACTATATAGCCCAGCCTGGCCTCCAATTCATGGTGATTCTCCTGCCTCAGCCTCCCTGGAGCACTGGGATCACAGACATGCACCACCACACCTGGTTCAGAGCTGCTGACTGGACTGTATGAAAAGCTGTCTGTGCCTCTGAAGCACCATCGTGAGAGGCATAGATCCTACTGAAAACCTGGCCTTCTCCCTGTGCACTTTAGGTCCCGGCAAGCGCCCACGCTTCTGATGAGTGCCTTGGGTTTACTGCGAGGTCCTGCGGCGCTGGCCAGAGTGTGCTCGGGGCCTTGGGGCCTTGCGCTTGGGGAGAAGCGGATGCTGCTGTCCCCGGGAGGTGCTGCCACAGCGCTGCAGGTGGCCAGCAAGAGGGACGGCCCTGCCTTGCTGCCCCTGGACGAGAGCGAGCTGGAGGAGCAGTTTGTGAAGGGACACGGGCCCGGGGGCCAAGCCACCAACAAAACCAGCAACTGCGTGGTGCTGAAGCACGTGCCCTCGGGGCTGGTCGTGAAGGTAGAGGCCTCGGGCGGGAGGGGTTGTGGAGGGGACAGGAATGGGTTCCAGGGCGCCTGCTGTGGAGGGCGCTGCGGACAAGGCTGTGTGTGTGTGTGTGTGTGTGTGTGTGTCCTGCTAACCACCGGCGGCCTTCTGAGGAAACCTTCACCACCGCCTTTCCTCCTCGACAGCACTCACATGTGAGCAGCAAAGTCCTGAAACTCGGTGGAAACTCCTGGGGGTCCTCTGCGACAGCCTCAGAGTTGTGCTTGCCCTTCCGTCCGTCTGCCAGCTTTGCGTCTTGCCAGCACTAACCAAGCCTTGGTGCCCCGGCTGCTGTGCAGCTAAGGAGAAAGATGCTGTGTGTCCCCCAGATGGGACCCGAGGCCACGTGGGGGGGTGTCCCTGGCCACAGCTGGAGGCCTCGATTCGCTTAGTCCTCTGGTGGCAAACCTTTTAGAGGTTTGTGGGGTTTTTTTTTTGTTTTGGGGGGGCGTTTTTTGGTCTTTTTTTTGAAACAAGGTCTCAGTGTGTACTTCAGGCTGGCCTTGAACTTTTCACTGTGTAGCCCAGGCTGGCCATTGATCCTCCTGCCTCAGTCTCCTTGAGTGCTGGGATCACAGGCATGCACTACCAGGCCCAGCTGAGAGCTTTGAGTAACACTGGTTTAGCCTATCCCTTCTTTTTTTTTTTTTAAAGGTACCGGGAATCGAACTCAGGACCTTGTGCTTGCCAGGCAGGCACTTGTGTTGCTGAGCTATATCCCCAGCTCCAAGCCCATCCTTCACAAACAGCAACCAAAAACATTAATTGTAAGAATAATCACAGCCAGGCGTGGTGTCGCACACCTGTAACTCTAGCCCTCTGGAGGCTGAGGCAAGAGGATCACTGTGAGTTCGAGGCCAGCCTGAACTGCATAGTGAGACCCTGTCTCAAAGAAAAAAGAAGAAGAAAAAAGAATAATTGGAATGAAAGCCACTTAATATAAGTGGGGTGCAGGAATTGGGCATGGTGGCTCAGGCCTGTGATCCTAGCATTCAGGAAGCTGAGGGAGGAGGATCGCTGTGAGTTCAAAGCCAGCCTGGGCTACATAGTAAGAACTCGTCTTTAAAAAAACAATAGAAAAGGAAAGAAAAGTGAAGTGAGAAGGCAAGGTCACAGGCCCAGGCAGGGAGGATCTGGTTTTCACTGCTTTGCCTGCTGGGTTTGTCCCTGCCTGTAAAGGGACTGGGCTGGAGTGACTGCTGAGGCCCCGCCCCTGACACCCTGTGGCATTCACGTTGTCACTCATGTCTTGCAGTGCCATCAGACGAGATCTGTGGACCAGAACAGGAAGCTAGCTCGGAAAATCCTACAGGAAAAAGTGGATGTTTTCTACAATGGTGAAAACAGTCCTGTTCTCAGAGAGAAACGAGAGGCAGAGAAGAAAAAGCAAGAAAGGAAGAAAAGAGCAAAGGAAACTCTAGAAAAAAAGAAACTGCTGAAAGAACTACGGGAGTCGAGTCGAAATGCTGCTGTGGGAAGAACTGCCGATGCCGACTGAGTCTGCCAGGAAGCACACAGGCAGTAACACTGGCGACTCCCATCAGTTTGTAAATGATGGGCTAGGGCAGGTGCGCCTGGAATGTAGGCGCTCAGGAGGCTGAGGCAGGAGAATCACCACCAGTTCAAGACCAGCCACAGCTACATAGTTCACGGCCAGCTACTAACTCAGACTAAGCTGGAGCAGACACTGATGCACACTTAAGAGAGCAGAACTAGAAGAATCCCGAGGAAGCCCTCAGTGTGAAAGGCAGCTGCTTCTCTAGGGGCTGAGGCGCTCCCTGGGCGCAGCCCTTGGTGGGGCGTCTGGGCTGGCAGTTGTTTTGCTTTGCAGAACTGGAAACTGGTTCCAGAAGTGCTGTACCACTGAGCTATATCCCAGCCCTTTTTGAGACAGGATCCTTGAGGTTTTCCTGCCTCAGCCTTCTGAGTAGCTGGTATTACAAGTGTGTGCCACTGTGCATAGCCATTGTTGATTCTTGACCTGGGCAATAGTTAGGTCTCCCTTTCTTTCTTTTTAAAAAGAAATAGGAGTCTTTTTTTTGTATAAGAGTTGAACTCACGACCTCATGCTTGCCAGGCAGGTGCTATGCCGCTGAGCTATATCCCCAGCAGAAACAGGAGTCTTGGGCTGGGGCCATAGCTTAGTGGTAGAGTGCTTGCCCAGCATGCATGAAGCTGCCCAACGATGAAAAAAAAAACAAGCAGTGATCTCACTGCTGCCCCAACTCTGGAGCTCAAAAGACCCTCCTGTTTCAGCCTCCCTTGTAGCAGGGACTACAGGTGTATCCCACCTTACTTGGCAGCCAGGCTTGGTGGCTCATGCCTGTAGTTCTAGCACTCAGGAGGCTGAGGCAGGAGGATTAGTTCAAGGCCGCATAGACTATACAGTGATACCCTGCCTAAAAAAAGAATTGTTTAGGGATAAAACTAGTATTAGCAAGGTCTATTTTCATGGAGAACTCAATCATGAACAGCATTTAGTGGTAGCTTGTCACCCACTGGGAGGCCTCTGCGCAGTGTTACCTTGTGAAGAAGAGGAAAAGATGGCCAAGGTGTCACTAAGGCGCTTGCCATTTACTCTTAGCTTGTGAACAGCGTGTGTGGCCAAGTCCGACTTTTGCTGTACAATAACATCGTCCCCTGTACACTGACTGGGGGTGGGGTTTGATTTCATTTGTTTCCAGTGCCAGGGTTCAAACCCAGCGCCTCCCCACTACACTGCTGCCCCAGTCCCGTTGTGTGTCCTCCAGCGTGCCGAGTTAGGGTCAGTGTGACTGGACCCAGCATGCTTTACTGACCAAGGACACAAAAAATACTCTGGAACTCTGAAACGTGCAGGCACGAGCAGCAGCCTCCAGCGAGGATGTGGAGGGCGGTGGCCATTTGCTGAGTCAGCTTCGCAGCCTCAAGTTTTCCACTTTCTTTCCAACCACATGTGGCATCTGCTGCTGTCAAACACACTCTGCCTCAACTGAAGCACACAAGTGCTTTCCCCGGCCAGCTGGGCCACGGCATCAGGACACAAAGGGAAGATGGCCTTTGACTGGTGAGCACCAGCTTCTCATTGAGAAGCGTCCAGCATGGTGGTGCACACGGTCATCCCAGCACTCAGGAGGCTGAGGCAGGAAGATCATAAGGGTTACATAGTGAGTTGAAGTTCAGCCTGACCTGTCTCAAAAAGTAAACCAAAAAAGGGAGGGTGCTTTAAAACAGCACATCAGGGGCTGGGGATTTAGCTCAGCGGCAAAGCGCCTGCCTGGCAAGCGCAAGGTCGTGAGTTCAGTTCCTGGTACCGGAGAAAAAAACAAAACAAAACAAAAAAGTAATAAAACAGCACATCAGGTCGGGTGTGGTGGCGCACGCCTGTAATCCCAGCACTTGAGGCTGAGGCAGGAGGATCGTTGCAAGTTCGAAGCCAGCCTGGGCTACATAAGTGAGCTCAAGGCCAGCCTGAACTGCATAGTGAGACCCTGTCTCAAAAAAATAAAATAAAATAAAAGGACAGCACATCAGAATTTTACAAGGAACCCACATCATAATACAAATTGTTAATGAAAATAAGCTTTATTACATCAAGTAATAAATACATACAAAGATGCAAACAGTTTTAGTCATTTTCTTCTGGATGTTTTGATCAACTTAGGGCAAACGCAGAACTGAAATCTACACACAGAGTCTTCATATGAGAGTGTCCAGGGTCCGTTTTAAGTGTAGTCGGTTGCTCTTTCTTCTGTATTTATAACTTGTGCATTTTTAGAACTGATTTCAAAGCGCTAAGAGTCATGCAAATGCGGAAGCAAGGAGGCTCCGCCCCATCAGACCCACCGGGTCCAGCGCCGGTGCGGAACCAAGTCCTGGGGCAGCAGGGTCTATGACAAGGAGCAAAGAACGATCGATCGGGGAGGTGTAAATGTATTCAACAGAAAAGACTGAAGGGAGACATTGGGACCTTGGGCGCAAACAACGGTTTGCTGTAAAATATAATAACGTCACGTGCATCTTTTAAATCAATGCTAAACAAAACCCTGGGTTGGCCTCACTACGTCAGATGCAAACCCGAATTCCCTGTGAAATCTTTTCTCATTCTTTGAGACTGTAGGTTCAGAGCCTAGCGAACCATGGCAGAAAAAAACTAAACTGTTAACATTTCCAAAATGAGTTTCCCTGCGCCGCAGTGGCGGCAACACCTCCTGCATGGAGTCTGCGGGCGGCGGCCGCTAGGACCTGGCGTTGCGCTCCGTCTCCGCGAGGCACTCCCGGACCAGCCCTCGAGCGTGGATGATGCCTGCGGGGAGCAAAGGCCAGGTCAGCAGGGCCAGCCAGACCCACCCTTGGCAACCCGCCCCGAAACCTCGCACCCTGAGGACGCTCAGGGGATCTACACATGTGCCAGACAAGTCAAGCACCGTGGTGTGCCTGTAAGTCCCGGTACACCGGAGGCTGAGGCAGGAAGGCCATCTGCACCCTAGGAGTTCAAGACCAGCCCTGGCACACAGTAAGACCCTGTCTCAAAACCAAAACTCAAACATCAGAAAACACCCAGATAGAAGTGGTTTTAAGGGATTTGCAGGCCAGGCGGCCGCGAGGCTCCTATATTGTCAGCCAGGCAAGAGGACATGTCCAGCTGTGCAGGCTGGGATCCAGAGGACACCAAGCCTGGGTGCCCAGGTTCCTGAGCCCTTCTCCCTATGTATCCCCCCTTATCTCTGGTTGGCCAGTTACCTTTCGTTTTCTTTTTGCCTCCATTGAACTTCATGGACTACAAACTCATTTATACACACCAAGAACGCTGTTTGTGCTGAGACATCTCCCAGAGGGCATCGGGTTGATGTCTCCAGGTCACCAGCTAACAGGAGAGTCCCTGAGGGTCGTGGTTGCTCTTGCCTACAATCCCAGCATTGGGAGGCTGAGGCAGGCTGAACTACGTGGCAGCAAGACCATCTCAAAAAACAAAAACCTTAGAAGTCCACATCTCACAAATCTTATACTCTGCCTAGAGCTCCAGAAAACTTCCTGTAAGGCCAAAGAGCAAATACTGTAGGCTTTTTGGGCCTACACAAATCACAGCTACTCAATCATCGTACATTGGGAGCAGCCACAAACAATGTGGACATAATGGATGTGGCTTTATTCCACTAAATCTCACTTATGGACACTGAAGTCGAATTTCACAGGATTTTTTTTGTATATCACAAAAATTTTTTTTTTCTTTCTGAGAGGAACAGCAGGGTTTCTGTGCAGTCAGGCCTGGAACTCCCAAAGGTATCCAGGCTGGCCTTGAACTCAAGATCTTACCACCTCAGCCTCCTGAGTGCTGGGATTACAGGTGTGTGCTACCACACCTGGCTCCAAAATCTTTTTTTTTTATAATCATGAAAAATTATAAGCCAAGTGTGGTGGTGCATACCTGTAATCCCAGGACTCGGGAGGCTGAGGCAGGAGGATCATTTCGAGTTCAAGACCAGCCCGGGCTATATAGCTCAAGGCCAGACTGAACTGCATAATGAGACCCTGTCTCAAAAAGACACACACACAAAAAAAAAAAAGAGAAAGAAAAACTATAAAAATCATTCTTGGCTCATGGGCTGTAGTCTGCCAACCTGTCAACAATGTTCCTGCCAGAGTGTCGTACACCTGTAGTCCCAGCTACTGAGGAAGCTGAGGCAGGAGGATCACTTGAGCCCAGGAGTTTGGGACCAGCCTGGGCAACACAGCCAGAAACCCCATTCTTTAAAAAAATAAAAAAACAAAACCAAAGCAAGGCACTGTGGCACATGGCTATAATCCAGCACTCAGGGAAGCTGGGGCAGGATTTTAAGTTTGGGATCTACATGGGCAACATAGTGACTTAGATCTGGTCTCTAAAAACTAATTAATAAAAGGATTGGGGATGTAGCTCAGTGCAGAAGTCCTAGATGTAACCCCCAACACTGCCAAAAAAAGAAAACAACGCTCCCTACTCTCCCAGGGCTCTGTCGCTGTCACTCTGCCAGGACACACACCTACCTCAGCCTGGGCGTGGCTGCTGGCTGGGCTGGTGCAGGGTCTCCTCCCTACTGTGGATGGGCCCTGTAGCAGTCACCTGCCAGACTCTGGGCTCCACTGTCCCCCCCCAGGAATTCCCATTTGGGAAACCAGGGCTCCAGCTGCCAGAACTGCCCTAGGTCCTCTGATCCCTGAACAGACTGACAGCCATCTGCCCCCCAGTGAGGCCAGGGTAGGAAGCTCTTAACCCCGCCCCACGCACTGGCCCAGCTTCTCATCCGGGCACCGCCCACCAAGACTGAACATGGCCGGAGCCCGTACCCAGGACCGCCACACACCTCTGGATCATAAATGAGCCCAGGATCTTTCTAAAACACATCCTCTCCCAGGCATGGCCAGGCATGCCTGTGATCCCAGCACTCTGGGAGGCTGAGGCAGGAGGGCGGCAAGCTCAACATCAGCCTGGGCAACCCTGTCTCAAAAAATGAAAGGACCTGGGGAACTGGGAAGGTAGCTCAATGCAAAGGTCCTGGGTTCAATCTTCAGAACTAAAAACAACAAAAAAAACTCTCCTATCCCTTCCACCTACCTTACGCGAGGTCACGAGCTGTCTAACGTCCTCCACACCCTGCACGAGTCCCTTGTGTTCTGTGATGCTGTCCTCCACCAATTGCTAAAGAACCTCAAGGTGCCCAGCTCAAGGACAGACCCAACCCTCCCCTGGCCCTGATGAAAGGAGGTGACAGCAAAAGACACTGCAGACGCTGTGGGGCCCTAAACCCCAGGCCAAGGCAGTCACTTCCCATAGCGTTCCCCAAGGGCAGCAGAGCAGGGGGAGACATAGCCCAGGAAGCTGAAGGCCTGTGACAGCAGTGGGGAACCCCGCTTGGCCACACTGTCCAAGCCACCCCCGGCCCCCATCCGGGCCTCTCCCACCTGTCTCCAATGGTGTCCTCAGAATATCAGGTCTTTTTCTTTTGTCCTTTTTCCTAAATTGGGGACCAATATTGAGGATTAAACCCAGGGAGCACTGAGCTACATCCCTACCCCTTTTTAAAATTATAGTTTGAGCCAGGCTCTCACTACAGTAATTCACTAAGTTACTCATGCTAGACTTACAATCCTTAAACTTCGATTCCTCCTGCCTCAGCCTCATAAGCAGCTAGGATTGCAGGCGGCACCACCATACCCAGCTTCAAAAACTTCCCTGACAGTGAGCAAAGGGACAACGGGCGGAGGACCAGCCTGCGGAGCCCCCAGCCTGCGCACGCTCACCACGCTTTAGCCTCTCCATGGCGCTCTTGCTGCCTGCGTACGTGGGTCTGATCTCCTTTCCCAGCTCCTCGATGATGGCCAGCAGCTCTGCATATTTGCTCTGGGGCACCTGGCTGTTCCCAGTTCCCTGCAATCAGAGTGACAGGGGTCACGCGGATAGAACCTGACCCCAGTGCCACGGTCAGGATCCCGAGCACCTCCGGAGCCCACAGGCTCTGGGCTCCCAGGACGGGCTGGGCCAGCACGCCCCTTCTGGGGACAGCGCAGTGAGGAAGCTGCTCCGCACCCTCCTGTCCTGTCTCTGGGGTGCCTGCCATCTCAGGAGACCGCACCTCCCGGAGGCCCCTCGGGCTGCAGCGCCACAGCAAGTGGGAGCAGAGGCCAGCCCGGGCAGAGCGGGACCACAGCTCTGGTGACCCAGAGGGGTCCACGATGCAAGGCATGCGCCCACCACCCCTCCGCACAGTGCCCGGGGACACCCCGTCCGCAGCCCAGCACCCTCGGCCCACACAAGCACCCAGATCAGGGAGGTGCCTGGCTCAGCCACCACAGGCGTCTCCTCCTGGTCCTCCTCCTCCTCATCCTCCTCCTTGTCCTGAGCCTGCTCGGCCCCAGGCTGGCGCACGGCAGCCAGCTTAAGCCGCAGGGCCAGGATCTGCTGTTCCTCCCACTGCAGCTGCCCGGTCCCCAGGGGCGACCGCCACCGGGCCTCCCAGCGCCGGAGCCGCAAGGCCAGGGCTCGGCGCTGTCGCTCCAGGCTGCGCCTCAGCCCATCTTCCCGCCACTGCCACCTCCTCGGCGGGTCCCGGGCCCGCGCCTGCCTTCCCTGGCGGGACTGGACCGCCTGGCGGGGCATAGCAGGGGAGCCACAGGCCACCTTGGCGCCACACTGGCAGAGAAGCAGCTCCATGGCGACCCCGGAATGCTGGACCCGGCTATGGCAGGGAAGGAATCTTATGGCTGGCCACCAGGGCCTGGAAGGCTATGACGCCGCCCCACCCCAGGGGCAAGGAGTCCCTCACGGACCCAGGGATAGTGCAGGCTGGCTTCCTTCCCGAGGATGGGCCTGGGGTTGCCCCACTTATCAGATAAGGACCCCAGGCTCCGTGAAGCTGCTGTATGGGGTCGCCAGCCTTAAGTGGTGGGGCCAGACGTGAACCAAGCAGCTTGCTTGGGGACCACACTTGTCACCACCAGCTCCAGAGGCGGTGGAGACCCCCAGGCCCACTTCGAGGTCCCAAGTCCAGCAGAACAGAAACAGGAAGGAGGGGGCCGCAGGAGACATGTGGGTGGTGACCTCGCCGTGTCCCTGTGACCTGCAGTCCTGGTCGCCCCTCCGTCCCAGGGCTTCCTGCGCTGCCCGGCCCTCCCAGGCAGTGCCCGGCCCACACAGCTGTACCTGCGTATAGCCGAGCGACGGTGGCCCATAGTCACTCAGCAGCTGGCGGTACTGGGAGGACGTGGCCATGCTGGTGGAGGGCGAGTGGACACTTCCAGCTGTGGAGGAGAGAGAGGGGTCAAGGCTCTCCTGGCTGCATGTAAGGTAGCGATGCTGGGTCCTGCAAAGGTGGTCCGCCTACCTAGAACCAGGTCACTGCAGTGGCCAACCGCCCCCCACCCGGTACACGGTGACCACACACGGCCCCGTCCCACCGTGCACCTTCCAGGCAAGCGCTGCTACCTAAGTGTGCTTTTCCAGTGTCCTCAGCCTAATCCCTGCCGTCTCCTGTCCTTGGGCCCTGCTCACCAGAGGCCGACGGCCCAGAGCCACACCCCCGACACAGAGCCCACCTGCTACCAAGGCTGGGCCACCCTGGGCTCAGATTCCTCTCGCAGGGAAGCTCCTGGCCCCAGGACCCCAGCTGTGCGGCGGTGACAGGCTGGTGACGGCACCACGCACAAAGGCAGGGCTCCGACGGGGCAGCCTCCTTGGGGGCCCAGACAAAGCCCTCAAAGCACCACTGAGCCTGCCGCCCCGCCCAAGCGGAACAGGACGCCAACAGTCCGTGCCACCAGGCCTGCGCCTCAAGAGACAAGGGCAGGGTCCAAGGACGCAACGCAGTGTCCGGGGCCACTGTCCGGGGCCAGCATCAGGGACCAAGAAGGACCCTCGGCCTGGCCCAGACCGTCATCCCTGGACGTAGCAGCAGGGAGGGACAGGCAGACCCATGATGGCGTCCAAGTGGCCCTTGGCGGGCCCTCGGTGGACGTCCTGCAGAATCACAAACAGAGGTAGCCATGGAGAATGCACCTAGCCCTCCTCAGCAGCTGCCCGCCCGCCACCCCAGAGCCAAACAGCCTCTGTCTCACGCACACAGCGGGCTCTGCGGACTTGGCCCCCGGGATGGACAGCTGGTGCCAGGCTGGCCAAGTGACCAGCTGCATGGGGGGGCAGGGCTCAGAAAGGCTGCAGAACAGGGAGAGGACCCAGCCCCATGGCCCCAGGCGCACAGCACCCAGCCGGAGACCCCAAGGCTGGGCCCTCTACCCGGGAACTGGGGACGGCACCTGCAGTGTCCTTTGAGCCTCAGGCCTGCCCTGATCCCCCACGGGGCCAGTTCACATCCAGACACAAAGTCCGACCTTGGGCCGGGCAGAGTGCAGCGCGTCTAAGAGCCTCAGTTTCCACGGCTCTCAAGTGAGGACGAGACGCCGTGCTGTGGGGACACGGGTGCAGGACAGGAACGCAGGACAAGCGTGCCTGGGGCCTCCCCCGAGGCAAACTGCCCCGGTCAGCAGATGGCACGCTGCGCAGGGGCAGCCGCGACCCTGGCCCCCTCACCAGCCAAATCTCAAGGTCCTGAGCCTTCAGAGGTGGCCGGCACGGGCTGGTGGTGCAGGCGACGCAGTCCTCCGTCACCCTGGGGCACCCACAGTAGTTCGGCTGCGGCGCCCGCAGGAGCGGGATGGTGCCCAAGCTCCACAGGCCGCCTGCCCTCTCCCTTCAGCTACCGCTGTTTGTCACCTCCCGGTGCCCCCTTCTCTCTGGCACCAGGCCAGACTGTGCACCTTCGTCAGGTCCTGCCCTCTCCGGGCCTGTTTCCCACGTGTTAGAGGCAGTGCTCCGGAGGGAGAGGGCAGCCCCCAGAGTGTGAGGCACTGGGCCTGGTTCGGGGGACCTCAGGGAGGGAGAGGAGGAGGAAGACGTCGCCCCGCTTGGATTGCAGGGCAGGCAATGGCTGAGACACGGGCGAAGCGGCAGGTGACTGACTGTGCCAAGGCCGGTCCCTTCTTCCGCGCGGACGGCGGAGGGGCCCGGACAAGCGCCCACTCCTCCCCGCGGAGGCAGGGACGTGGCCGGGGCGGCCGCAGAGAGGCAGGCGCGGCCGGCGGGCGCATCGCACAATGAGCGCAGTGTGCGAGCGGCCTGGCAGAGGACAGGAAGCTCCAGGGGCCGGGCGCGCTCCCCGCCCC